AAGGAGCTAACATTCTTCCTTCGGAAGACTCAAAAAAAAAAAAAAAAAAGGGTGAAACTGCTCCATCTGTGGCACTGCTGGTAGGGTGCATCATCAGGGTAAAAGCAAATCTTTGCAGGAGAGCAAAAGGGACGATTTACTGAAGCAACATTTTGAAACATGACTGTGAAAAAACAATGGAATTATCACAAAATGGAATTTCACACTCCCAGCAAACCCCCACCGGAGACAAGAGACTGACAAACAGCATACCATGGAAAGCAATAGTGTAAGTTGCACTCCACAAGCTCCACAATCAGTCCTCTCGTACCTGCCATTAATATCTAACTTACTAAGCTTTGAATCAGCACTTCAGCAAACTCGTGTTTTGCAGGAAAAACAAAAGTTTAGCAGGTTTTTTTGTTGAAAAAAAAATCTGCAATATTCTAACTCCGTTAAAAAAAAAGAACAAACAAAAAATCATAAGAAAGCTACAAAACTGCACTGCCCTTGCTGCCTTTTAAACAGTAAAAGCTTTACAGTCAACTCTAAAATAAATCACAAACATGTACAATCCGAATTCGTGTTTTGTCACGATGTTCTCATCAGACCAAAATGTTCCCCAAAGCAGGCCTAAAGGAGGCAGGAAGGGTAGATAATAACAGTGAGTGGAAAACGATCAAAACGTGACCAACAGAGATTTTCTGAAAACGCAGAAAAGCAAGCAGTTATTTTGTCTGGACATCTGGAAGATATAAGGACAAAAAGAAGGGGAAGGAAGTAAAAATCCAAAGTGTAAAAGAAGGGGAGACCTTCATCCAGCACATTGGCACATACGCTCAGGGTGAAGCAGAGCCTAAAGCTAAGCTTGAACCTGTGTGTGCTGCTGGATTCAGAGGAGGGAAAACAGTAACAACAGACAGGAATACTTGAGCAGGTACCTCCAAGAACTTGCCATCTTCAAATAAACCTCTTTCTAGTTTAATTTTTCGGCTCTTTCTAGCCAAGCCTGTGATTTCAGGCTGCTGAAGAGGACACAGCGACTCTTGCCAGACTTCACTGCTTTCCAACAGACCACCTAAGGTGGGAAGAGACCATTTCCAATCGGCTGGTCCCTGACATAGCCCTTTTTGATCTTTGTAAATGTAAATGAAGAGTTGTGGAGAGAGTCTCGTCTGGGAGAGGTCACTGGCACCTGGTCCCTAGGTGTGGCCTTTGGGGATACGTTTATCCCCGCTAAAAAACGGGCTTGCCCATAGAAAGCACCTTTTCACTACTGAACCTGGGGAGAAAAAGCACGACAGGAATGTCCTTAGGACATTTTGGGTGAGGAACTTCTGCGCACTTATTCCAAAAGCCCATTAAGAATATACCTAAAAGAAAACACAATAAAACAGAATAGAGCAAGCAAATTGCCCCCAAAAGTCATTAACAAAAAGTAAAAGTAACATTATCAAACTATATATATAATGGTTTTCATTAAAAAAGAAGGAAAAATGCACAACTACCGCCTGCAGTTCTGGTCAGGTTCTCCCTCTGCCCACCCCAAGCAAGTAAAAATAATTTTAAGAAAAAACTAATAAAATAAATTAATCTTTCCACCAGCATGGTTCCCAACTGAAACAATTTCTTCTCTCGCTACTCTACTTCCTGAACACATCAGTTAAGAACCTCAAGAAAAAAATCTGCAATTCTTCAGATAAACCTGAAAGTAGGACTTTCCCTCCAGTCTTTGCAAACCTGGATTTATTTTAACAGTAGATTTTCTGTGCATTGGAGAGACGAGATGGGTGTCAGGTAGAGGTGTCCTTATCAGAAGACCAGAATAATTCCACCTGACTGACAAAGGGTGTTTGAATCTGGGATTGCTCTGGGTTAATGGCATCCCTTTGAGTTTGAAATCAGCACTTTCTCCCCGATTGTAATGTGACTTGCTTAGCACTTCGATCTGTCTAATGATTGAGATAATGTCATTCATTAGCTCTAATAACAATGGCCCTGGCTCACCAAAGTATTTCAATATGCAAATGGAATCATTTCGGCCAGCGGGAATCACTCCCTCAAAGTTAAACATATGGTTTATGCACTCTGGGAAGTAGAGACGTTTTGTCATGTTCAAAAGATAGGTACTTATTTTAACTTTGGGTGTTTTTTTTTAAATAAATTGCAAGTGCTGTGGTGGAAAGACACTTGAACTTACACGTTAACCTAACTCAGCAGTGGGGGGCTGAGTAAAGGATGCCAGGTTTTCATGGCAGCTGGTAGAAGTCTCCAGGATTGTATATTCTGCCCTTCAGGCAGCTGGGAAACGTCCTCTGAACCCCCCAGCATTTTGCCGAATCTTTACTTCCCTTTAGCGAACGTATTAAAACATGTAACAGTGGAACTGAACCTTTGTGATCCTTCTTTTCCATCTGGACGTACATCTGTAGAGATGCACCCACAAAAGGGCCTTAATGGGCCAGCAGAAAACATTCCTGGAGGGCTCCAGACAAAGTACATCCAGAGGGTACAGTGGAGACCAAAGCACAAGTACAGGAAGCAAAGGAATTAGTCAGTGAAACCAGACTTTTTCCACACTCCACATTTTCCTCTTCTGACAACATATTTCATGCCTTCAAAATCCAGTATGGTTTTAAAAAACCCAAGCAAACCAATGTCATTTCCTTATAATTAAACGGGAGAAGAAAGTTTGTGATGAAAAGGTTAAAGATGGAATCATCAATGATACAGGTGGAAGTTTGTCACCTCGTAACCAGAAATAGTAGCAAAAAAAGTGTTATCACATCCTCTCTGAGCAGCACTCTGAACTGAACACGGGGGTTTCTCTGCCTTTCTAAAGAGAATTGTTCAAGAAGGGTTTCTTTCTTGGATCAAAGGATCCCCTCCCAGAAATATTGTCCATGTCTTGCACTCATTTATGTAGCTGCTGCTGGAAAATGAGCCTAATTCTTCATCTGAAGAGTCCGACCACAATAGTAGAATGAAGTGAAAATGACCAAAGAAAAAAAGAATATAAATGGTGCCATTCTCAACCCCTGCCACTGGCCTCTGGGAGAAAACAGAAAGCAAGGCAGAAAGCGCTGGCACGCCGAGCTCCCGCAGCCCCAGCATCTGGGCACACATTCCTGGTGCACTGCTGAGGAACTCTTCCCAAGCTCCGGGGAGGGAACTTGCAAAACATCTCCAGCAAATCTTCAGGAAGATTCTCCTTCTCCTTTCACTCTGCTGCCATTTCCCAAGCTTCTGCACCCTCAGACTCACTTTCTGGCTATCAGCCAAGGAGTTTGACCCTTGAAGTGGCAGACAAAAGGTTTCACGTGAAAACAGACAGGCAGAATTGACAGGAATCCACAGTAACAGCAGCCTGGTTACAAGTTTTAGAAGGGACAGAAACTAAATTGCCACACTCAGGCTGGTACAAACCCAGCTGTCCCACTTGGGTTTCTTTTGACACGTAAGGAGCTTAGGTTTGGGAAGAGCAGCAGGTCAGTGTGGTCTCACTGATTTGAGCTCTCTTATCTCTCCCCAGCGGCTGATGAAATTGTGTGTCAGTGTTGGGGCTGTAGAACGGCAATCCAAAACTGTTATCTGGTACTTCAGTTAAAATCCCCGGCTGTAAGCTACCACAGCCACAGGGAATATTTGTCACAATTTTCCCGACCTTTAAACGAGTGGGCACCCTATGCATTTTCCCAGTAGTAGGTAAGACTTTGCTGACCCAAGTCAGGTACTTTGAAAAGTTGTAGCAATTTCACTTCAAGGTCCCTTACACCTCAGACAAGAGCTTTTTCAGAAATACAGCAGTCAAAAAACGGCCCAAGAAACAAAACAGGTACAGCATCACCTCGAGAGTCCCTAATTTTTCAGGAGCTGTGTCAGGTCAAGGTAACAGATGTGCACTCGTTCTGCTCTTGGATCAGATAAAAACAATCAACAACAATCCCGTGCAGTGCAATCACAAAAACCAGCCACACAAAAACCATGCCACGCAGACCAAAGGGAACAGGAAGCATTGGCAGGGTCTCCTGGGGAATCTCTGGTTTTAAGGATTAAGAACAGCCAGGATTTGTAGAAGGGACTGAAGCATTCAGATATCCTACCTTGCAGCTGAATGCTTCAAGATCAGAGCAGGAACTCACTGCTGCTACTACAACCTTCCCAACCCAAAGCACGAGGAGTACACCTGGCTGGGTCTTTAGTAACTGCTTTAACAGGTGTGCAATTAAAACACAATTGGAACATTAGCTGTTCCAATTAGCTCAGCTTCACAGCTGCAGAGCCTTTTAACAGAGGCTTATATTAACAACATCTATTACTGAGAAAACCAGCAAGAATCCCTCAGTGTTCTGTGGTTCATTTTCTTTCTGTTCCGTTTCAGCTCCAAGCATCTCATGAAAACATCATGCATGGAAGCGTTTCATCCCAAGGACAATGTTGGCACGAGAACAAATGGTTGTAAATACCATGAATTAGCTTAGGTCGAAAGTTGCAAGGAGTTTCCTAACTGCGAGGGCACTGGAGTCGGAACAGCCTGCAGGGTGGGGAGGGAAAGGACACAGGACAGTGGAAACCTCACTGGTTTTCAGATGAGGTTCAATGCATTTCTGAAAGGGTGAGGTGGCAGATGGATTGCAGCAGCCAGAGGCTGGGCTGGGTTCCTTGGGCACTCCCCAGCAGGCCTTTCCCTGTGTACAAGGGAGCTACTTCCTTTACTCTGTCACTTTATTATGATGGTGCTAAAAGGCTGCATGGAATCATCTGGAAAAATAACTGATTAATAATCTGTGAACAGATGAATAGTTGAGTATAGGCAGGACGATGGTGGTGACCCCTTCCACTGGCACAGCTGCAGCCAGGAGGAGCAGAACTCCTGTTGTACTGGCAGCATCATGCAAACAGCAGGACTTCAGTGATCAGTCTCACTAATAAATCACCACTTGTGTTTTCCTTTGGCATCATTAAATATTGGTACCTTCTTCCTGAGACTCCTGCTTTGTCCACTGCCTTTGCCTCCTATGTCTTTTAGGGAATAGATTTAGGCTTCCACTTTTCCCTTCATTTTCTAAGGAAAGCACACTGTTACATTCACTTTAGTCTGGTAATGTTTTCCTCTCTAAACTACCCAGAGTTGAGACATCAACAAAGGTAGGTCAGGAAGGATAATTAAGATGTGCATATGCAAATGATAATTACACACTCCGCAAATTTGCATGCGACCTTTGGTTAACATTTTAGAAAGCCACGTGGATTGATTTCACAAACACACGTTTGTTCGGATATCAAGGTATGCTGCATTATGCTTAATTTTAAATAAGGCTTTAATTAAGCTGCTTGAAGGCTGACCATTTAGCAAGGGATTAGAATTTCTTGCCAACCAGGGCTCGTTTTCATGAGGGTTATTCCAGGTCATGGGAGGATAGTTATAAATCATGGTGTCTCTACATTCCCAGTGCTACTATGAGGTTTTTCAGCAACACTTTAATTCATCACAACAGAAGTGTTAATATTTCACTTTAATAAAAAATACATAATATTTTGAAATATTCTTGAATGATCCAGCTTGAAAAATGAAAATGACCTTTAAATCTATACAGGGCAGTTCCTTTGGGCACTTTTAATGCAATAATTTATTAAGTTCCTATATTCATCATGTGTGCACAAATACCATGTAAATATTACAGCTGTACTCCATGAAAAAAAACAAGCGTAATGCAGACATGGAATCATACTGAGAACTGACAAACGGGAAAAAAGGGAGATCTAATATTTTCTGTACAAAAAAATATGCCACTTTCTGATAATTTGTAAAAATGCATAACTTTTGGCATTTCAGAGAAGAACACCGTATAAAAATAAATATTCTATGTACAGTAACACACACAGGTCAGTCCAGGGTTAGAATCATCACTGCAAAAGAAAACATAAACAAGTGTTAGTGACAGCTCACAGGGGGCAAGGACCACACCACGGGGGAAGGACACTGTTAGGGCAGCTGGCTCTGGGCTCTCCAGGAGGAAAAACAGCATTGATGGATCTCAGCAGGGGCCCTTGCCACCTCTGCAGGTGGCAAAGTGAGGGCGGGAGATTCATCCCGGCTGACTTTGCCTCCATCCTCTTCCTCCCACTGTGGTTGAGCACTTGGCATTAACACCCACAGCGGGCAGAGGGCTTCTGAGGGAATCCAAAATCTCATCTTTGATATATAAATAAGGAGGAGTTTTGGTTGCCACTTTTCTGGGATGCAGTCCTGGAAATCCCAGCCATGCATCCACACCTATTCTGCCCTTAGCCAAATTCATGGAGAAACATTAGCAGGACTCGTGGCACTGCCAACTCAGCACAGCAACAATTGCAAGATTACCTTATTCCAGCAGCCTTGAACTGGAAGGCCATCTTCCCCCTGTGAAAAAGGTGGGTGAAATAGCAGTTTAGGACACAGGAAGTAGTACAGAGATGGAGAAAGGAAGGCATGGGTTAACTGCTACTGCAACAAACAGTTTGAACCAGGGCTGGAGGAATAGTCGGAGAGATATTCCTCACCCTTTGGATGACCCAGACTTCCGGCTGGCAGAACCAGTGCAGCCTGAAGCAGGGGCTGGGGTGAAGAGGGGAAATGCCTGCAGGCTGTGCAAGGGACTAATGTACCCGAGAACCACTCTCCCCTAAGGAAGGAGTTCATCCAGGCTTCCTTGAAGGAAGAAGAGAAGGAACACAGGAGGTCCAACTCAGCCAGATAAACACTGGCAGGGGCTGGCAGTGGAAAGTGAGAGGTGACTGCTCTGTGTCCTCAGGCTTGGCTCTGTAACGTTGAGCTTGAAAGCCAATCCCAGAGGAGAGTCTGGGAAAAAAAAAATCACCATTTCCTTTCTGCCCTGTCTGTTAAAGGGTTTGCTTTGCCATGTGAGAGACTGTCCAGTTATCCCCCCTTGCCTCTGGGGAGATCCTCCTCCAGGGACATTAGGAAGGCAAGCAGCTGAGCAGCCCCTCTGCTGGTTCAGGATGTCTCAGCTGACTCCCTGAAAAAGGACTTTGGCTTCAATAACATCAGTGGGATTTCTGTGAAAATCCCCTGGCACTTCTGATGTCTTGGGCTCCATGGTTGGGAAATGCTTTTGTAAATGATTGGCATTCATTTCAACTCAGTGCAGCCCTCTTTGATGGGCTAGATATGACACCAGTGCTGAGGTGCTCTGGAGCAGCAGATAAAGTCAGGTGTAAGGAAATACATCTCTGACACGAGACGTCAAATTCTTGTGCTGTGTGCACGTGGCAGGTTCGTGGTCTATCACTATTCCCCAGGAAACCCCAAAAAAATACAAACAGAAAAGCAAATGCACAGTAAGATATTGAGAAATTAACTGTTTACTGGAGATGCATTTCCAGGGGGGCTGATAAACTGAACGTTGCAGTTATGTTATAACAATATTGCTTTTCAAATGCATTTTTTGGACTTTGGTCTCCTCGTGCTTTTTTCTCCCTTTCCCCAACTATGTGGAAATACAGAATTCCAAGTTATTGACTGGGTAAATTGTGGTATTCCCATTGGTACACTGGTGGTGATAGGAATGACTGGTATAGTGCAGGGCAGGAGGAGATGGGAAGTTAGGTGTATGATGGAATGGGAGGCCAGGGAGTCACAGCTTAGGGATCAAAGGAAGACCAGGGTCACAAGGAAGTGTTTGTTGCGGGCGAATGTGCCGAGAACGGAAACATGACATGCTTATTAGTACCAAGGATCTCCTTCCACATATCTCAGATGTGCAAAGAGTTAGTTCACAGCCTCCAGAAGCTACACACATGGATGTGTCAGCTGGATGCTAAGCTTTTAACCTAGTTGGATCAAAAAACATGCTTATTCACGTTCCCAAGCTAGCTTGCATGCCAGAACACCATCTATATAAAAATAACAGCGTCCATATTTTATCAGATTTTCTGGCAAGTTTCCCTTCATAAAAACAGGTATGAAAAAAGTGTGAGTTCTAATATGCTCACGTGGGGTGAATCCTCACTGGGAGCAGTGACAAAACCAGAGAGGTCATCTGCCTCTCAGAGGGCACTGATGGAATCCTTGCACCTGTAAAATCAGGTGCCTTACTCAGCCAGAAGTTGCTCCATAGAAACCTGGCTGTGATCACTGGGACACAAAACACATGGCTCTGTGGTCTCCCTCCTTTGTGCACTGTTCTGGGCAGGTATGGTTTCACCTGTGGGACTGGAAGAAGTTTCTACTACCCAGAATTTACAGAGCAGCAACTAAGACTTTACAAGTGGTCACTGCCCCAAAGAGGCAATGGCAGCACCCAAAGGAGAGAACACTGGAAGGAAAATTATTTTAGCTCTTCACAAAGCTCAAATAACTAAGATTTTAACAGCAATTTCATGGCTTTTTTTTTCCCCTCAGGAAACTAGGAAAACCCTTCAAACTAAATGTGGCTTTTTGCTTTGGGATGCATTTTCCTGGCTGAGTTAACAATATCCCATCCCTTGTAGATGGCATCAAACATCCTTAAGTGAGCATAAAGCTTGGAAGGACCAAGCAAACTTTGCCATGCCAAACAGGGCAAAGAAGTAAAAGTTTCTTTGTATTACAGAGATATTGAGACTGTCCCAGGGAGCAAAAACATCACCTGAATGCTGCATCTCCAGAGAACTCAGAGAAAATTAATAAAGTGGTGACCTTTATTGGGATACTAAGAAATAAGCTTGAGTTAAGTGTTTCTAAATACTTTTGTCCTACAACAGCTTGACTAGATCAGGCACTAATACAATAATCATTTTATCACTCGAATAAGATGGATATTGGGAAACAGGCAATTCTAAATTCAAGTTTTTTGGGTGCTATGGGAACAATTTGGACTTTTGAAGAGAGTCATAAATAGGAATTATCCAGCAGAGAGGTTAAGTGTCCCCACTAATACGTTTCACATGAGCTTACTAATGGGATAACTATTATTTTCAGTCATCTTCATATATGGGATGACTGAGGTCATATGGGACCATGTCAGGCTGCGTTCAACACACACAAGCACTTAAAAATAGAGTTAATGAAGGACACAAGCACAGCAGCTCCTTGTGAGGAAGCCAAGCCAGTGCAGAGCTGGGTCTGCATACATTGGTTTACTGGAAATTTTCAAAGCAAAGGCAAAGGAAGAAGTGAAGCAGTTGTAAATAAAACCACATTCCAGCTCTATTTTTCTCATGCCACAAAGTGCTGCTGACAGCACTTGGGAATCAGAGGGAAAGGAAGGGCCTGGTTCTGACAGCAGCAATGAGAGGAAGGGACTATGGAGACAGGTAAGGGAGGAACTGCCAGGTGTTTCTAGGGGTGGGGATCAGAAAACAGCACCAAAAGCCAAAAAGCAAACGAGCATGCAGGAAAGGGAAGGTACACCATACCAATGGGCATGGGGCATCCAGGCCGTCCAGCCCAGGTAACCCCGGCTCACCCTTCTCGCCTTTAAAACCTCGGAGACCCTGTTTATGAAATCAACCACTATCATTATTTCAGTCAGTGCCAGGCAGCTCCGTGTCCCGGGAGGAGAGGCCAAGTCCCCGCTGGGACTGGCACAGGGCACTCAGCTGCACACCCAGCTGTGTCTGCAGCAGCAGCAGCACTTTCCTTTCTGGTTTTCTGTCATCTAGGAGATGCTGCTCTGAGTTAAAGCTGAGAGGATGGGAATGGCGTTTCCTCCATTCCTCCAATCCTCACTAAGAAACCCAGCAGCTGGATTTCTAAAAGCATGATCCCCAAATACTCCTGGAATTTGTGGCACTGCTAGCAGATTTTTGGCAGCGTTTGCTGCAATGCATGAATTACATAAAAATGTACACATATTCCTGCATTTATTCATTTGCCTAGACTTAGAGCCAATCTGCTTTGACAGAAACACATCTCATTTAGGGTAACTGAGACTCGTTTTCCATCTGGGTAGTGCAGCTCAAGTGCCCTGTGTGCTCTCAGGCCATCACATCAGCTGGCTGTTATTCCAAGGCAAGGAAACCAGCATTCCAGTTTTGCTGTCACGTGGATTTGATCCCGTGGAGCATCTCCAGAGAAGAGCCGTAACCAGCAGCAAAGGAGACGGGGCTCTGTCCACAGTGGAGAAAGCCCTGAGCTCCCAGCACATGGGACACCCCATGTACCCAAACCTTTGTGAGGTCTGGAAGAGGAAGGAACATAACCATGGTCACTCAGCAGCCTGATCCCTCAGAGGATCACTTGGTCCCACAGCTTTGCCACGGGCTGTGGTGGGAACCCAGCTGGGCCTTATCCGAATGTTGTATTTTTGCAAGACCATTATTTATGTTATGATTTCCTTCTGTCTTCCCCATCAACACATCTTAAAACAATACATTTGATGAAACAGGACATACCAACGGACAGGGTGCATCTAATCCAGGTGCTCCTTGGTCTCCCTTATCCCCTTTAGACCCTCTAGAGCCTTTCTTGCCCCTCTCCCCCTGCAAATAATAGTTTAGTCCAAGAAAAAAAGAATACACAAAAGCTTTAGGATCATCCATTTCAAACAAATGTCAGCGATAGTTTAAAAAAGGATAAACATTTAGGAAACATTCTAAAATAAATCTCCCTCTGAGATGTTAAGTGAAGATCAACATATGGAGCTGCTGAGCTGTAACTGAGCTGCATAAACACCGTGGCTGTGGTCCCACACTAACAGACTGTGAGGGCTCTGCCACCTTATCTCAATTTTCAGCTGGCTGGGAAGGTCCCTCTACCACTGGAGCTCTGGGATAGCACTGAGATGCTTTTTTTACCCCTCTGAATTCCCATTCTTAAAGAAAGTCTCAGCCAGGGAATGAAGGAAGGAAGTACCCAGCTCTGAGTCTGCACAGTCTGGCTGTCCTTTGGGATGCTCTGAGTAGTGCTCTCCCAAAAAACCTGTTAGACCAAGGAGAAGTCTTAGGCAGCACAGCCACAGGGCAGCAAGTGATCCTTAACTGGCAGCACAAGGCAGGGCATAGTGTGGTATTTGCCAGTTACATCCAAACCAAATCCTGCCGTGTAACAGGAAATTCTCAAAGCTGCTGAGCAAGAAACAGGGGGAAGGGGCTGCTGCACAGGGAACTGAACTTAGGGGGAATTAAGGGATAAAATCAGACTGCACAGGCTGTTGCTTCTTCTTAAAAAAAAAAAAAAAGTGTTAAACCCAAAGCTGGCAAGAGAAATGGATGGGAGAGGAGAGGCAGTGAGGAGAAGTCACCCAGAACCAAGCACTGGAATGGAGAGGATAATCCAGGAAAAATGCAGCATGGGTTGCTCTGGAGGAAGGAGCCAGGAAGAAAGGCGGAGGAAGAGGAAGGGATAAAGGGGACAAAGGTGGACCTGTAGGAGCCAGGAAGATGCACAAACACACACATAGACACACACACACCCCAGCAGGCATTAAAATAACAGCAGGACAAGTTCAGGATTCACACTTTTTCAGCTGGATTACACAAAATGCTGCCTGTCCCCACTGCCATTAGTGCCACAGCCCCAGGCACAGCTATGCTGATCTCCTGCTCCAAGCAGAGAGCAGCAGGAGCATTTCTGGGATTTAAAAAACACGGAGGAAAAGAGAGGATTTTGGCAAACTGGGACTTCAGAGTAAGCAGTAACGGGAAATCCCTGTACAAAGGCTCAGTGGCAAAAGGGGTACTTTATAGGATCCCCTAAGATATTGTACTTGCCCATTTTCACTCCTGAGTGTCTCACACTTTTCCATTGCAAACCATGGGCTGCAGTGAGGCAGAGTGCATGCACACTTCAAGGGGCCAGCAAAACTCCCCACTCGTGCTTTGCAGCTCATCCTCTACAAGGAGTTGCAATTTCTCCCAGTTTTCACTTGCTTTTATGCCAGAGCTCAGAGAAATCCCATCTAATGAAAGATCATTTTTTTAACTAAGACACTCGGTTCAAAAACCAACTGAAAAAGTCTAGGAATTAAAAATTACTTTTTTTTAGAAGCCACACAAGCAAAATGAAAGTGAAGAGGAAGTTAAGAAGCAAAGCCAGAAACGCAATGATTAAAAAAGGGGAGAACTTTGGTGCTTCCATGAAACTTGAACATTTCTCCCCTAGTTTAAGATGCCAGTTGGCTAGTGCTGTCCAAAACTGCCCTTTCTGTGCAGAGTAAGGTCAGAAATCCACTGCAGGTAGAGGACAGAGAACACTCACTATACATCAAAAGCAAATCCATATGATGAAATCATCACATGAGCACATGCACTATAAAAAATTACACCTCCTGATAAATTTAGGTGATGCCAGAGTCTTATGAATAAAAGGTGTGACTGCATACACTTGTACTGTATTGAACTGCTTGACATTCATACAATTGTAATATTACAGATTCGAATCCAAAAGTAATTTATATTTATAGATATCAGTTATATCCAACTATAGCTCCTAAATGTTTTTATCAAAAGGACTCAGACTTAAAGCCTTAAGAGGCAAGAAAAAGTGATGAAAAAGAAGGAGCTTCTCAGCATGCACTTCTTAGCAATGTTTATCTTTCCATAACACAGGTGGCACAATGGAAAAGCTGCCATTCCTTTTACTGGGTTTGACCTAGCTCTTCACCATCACATCCATTCAGGACAATGCCTGAGGAGACTTCAGGCCTGATTCTTCAAAGACAGGCAAATTTAATTTATCTTTTTCAAATTTCCGTCTTTCGAATTCTCTGCAGGATTGTTTGCTAGAAGACAACCTTCTTTTTCATGCTTCAGGGACAATTTAGAAGTACTGAAATAAGATTTGCTGGCTGCACCTCAGCCAATTCTCCCAGGAATCCCTACACACATCAGTAACTAGATAAACAGGATTTTCTAAAGCACACCATGTTGGCCTAACTCAAGTCCTGTGCTTCAGTTAGAACAGAGGTGTGACCACAATGACCACAAAATCCCTCCTACAACCTTCAGAGAGATGTAGCACAATGTTCCAGGTGACGGAACGAGCTGTGGGTATCACCTCCTAAAACAGAGGTGTGCAAAGTTACTTGGATGAGGGTCTGGCACACAAACACATGCTAGGCTGCCAGTGTGTACACGTGTTAGAAATTAAAACAAACAGTTTGCCTGGTAACTTACCCGGACTCCCTTGTCACCAGGTAGACCTTGTAAACCCTGAAATGCATCAACACAGAAAGAGATATTTGAAAACAAGCAGATTTCAACATAGTCCCACTAAAGAGAGGAATATGTGCTCAGGATTTTGGGCGTTTTTTTCCCCATTTGTACCAATGGCTATGTAAAAAAAATAAAAAAAAACTTTCCCAGCAGGCAACCTCCACATCCAGGTAGTAACACCACTACTACCTACCCTATGGACTCCTCAGATAAGAGACAAATTAGTTATGACAATGCAACAAACTTCCTTTTTCGTGTTAAACAACAAAGCTGCTCCACTACTGCATTAGACCACGGCACCAACACTGGCCCCATTTTGCAAAAAGCAATCCCAGTGGAATTAACCTCACTGAAGGCAGCTTTTGTCCCTGCAATGACAAGACAGGGCTCTCACAGACAGCTGGGAGGCAGGCACCCCACCCAAGCTGTGAAAGGTAAAGGGAGCTGCTCACAAGCAGCAGTTTGGACTAAGAGACACATCCTGGGAGTGCCACACAGCTTCTTTAGGTAGTTCAAGGACCAAGGGGAATTAACAGTTTCCTTTCAGCCTCCTCCACATCACTCTGAGTCTGCTCTGAAGCCACTCAGATTTTTCTGTCACTCCCATAGTGAACAAAATCTTGTAACTTGAGTTACAGCAAAACCCTGTGTTACAGCAGCATCTTCAGCTGTCAACCACAGCAAGGAAACAGGCTCTGGAGATAAATCCCTAGCATTCCCATACTTACAGGAAGCCCTGCTGGCCCCATTGGTCCTGCAACTCCAGGATCTCCTTTACTGCCCTGAAATAGATACAAAAGAGTAGAAACTGCTCACATTCCTCTTCAGTACAAAACAGGCAACAGAGAACCATAGAATAAAAAACAAAGGATGCATTTCAAAGCACCCGAAAGCCCCCAAGGAGGAGATACTCAAGCACCAAAGAGGCCCAGCTGAGGCTCTTGTATGCACAAGGAGAGGGGAATTCCAGCTCTGGAAAAGCCTAGAGCTCCTCTATCCCTCAGAGCTGTTGTATCTTCAGAGAAGTTACTGAGCATCCATCAGTTCTGAAGCAAACTCACCCTTTCTCCTTTTGGTCCTGCTGGTCCTGAAACCCCAATTGGTCCTGGAATACCCTGTAGTTGGAGGAAGGAAAACACATCAGGATGCTTTTATTCCAGGGCCTCCTTAAAGCCAGGAGACACTGCTGCTCCCTCAGGAAAAGCACAGCTTGGAAGGACAGGCTGGTGGTGGAAGGCACCTAGCACCACTACAGCTTTCAGTGTTGGTGGAGATGGATTTGAAGTAGTTGGAAAGGCAATTTGAAGAACATGGGAACTGCTATGTTAGATCACACCAGCACCACTGTACAAAGCCTCAATTTTAATTCTGAAGCTCTCTCTTGACAATTCTTTCAGCAGGCATTTCTACCAGCTCTGCAAACAAGAATTCTTTCCTGCTAGTTTTTACCAGACAAGGCTGAAAGCTGTAGCAGAATAAAGGCCATTTACACATGTGACAAGCAACTCACATTTCTTTGTGCTTATTTCCTTATTTTCTTTACCCCCTCCCAGAGCTGAGCAAGATGGGAAGCATTGGGTCAGTGGTTCATGCAAGCTGACAGTGCTGAATGCAGGTGTGCACAGGAACAGATGTGAGCTGGAAGGGGATCCTCCACTCCCTCTGCTCCCTCTTTGCCATTCCTGTCACTGCACCAGGCTCCCAGTCACGCTGACAGGAAAACCCAGTGTTTTTCCTAACCCTTTGACACAGAGGCCATCTCCCACCAGCACACCAAACTTCCTTGCTTGTGCCCCTGAGACTCGTCTGGCTTCTGGGAAATTAATCAAAGTGATCTTTAATGTTGGCACCACGGTGGTTCAGTAATAGCCCCTCCGGCCTTATTAATCCTCAGAACAGGACTCCAGCACCTCTAACTCAGACTCCTTGAACCACAGAGGTATGGGTCTACCATTCCCTCACGGAGCCTCAATAAAGGGATACTTTTGAGGCACATTACCTGACTCCTAGGAAGAACCCAGGAGCAAGCTTCCCAAACGGGAGAGTCTTTTTCTAAGAGCCTTAAAGCAAAGGGTCCTGCACTTTTTAATGTCAATCTGCAATCCTTAATCACTACAGTAACCCCTCTGATGTGAGCAGGATGGCTCATGTGGATCAGGAGAGCTTTGCAGAGAAGTCAAGATCTGCAGAATACAAGCGGAGGAGTAGCTCATGCAGCACACAACTTCAGCGTGGCAAAGGAAGAGAGAAAATTCAGGCTCTCCTTAGATTCGTGTAAATCTTAATTGCCTTCACTTATGCATCATTTAGTGCCATGGAATACACCAAAATCTCCCCTGCACACCTGTAAAATTTTATCTACAGTTTCCCCAAACAAGTGACCGTGTGAGCTGCCACTCAGATTCCCTTCTGAAGTCAGAGCAGCTGAAATTATTCCCAGCTACACTGAAGAGGAAAAATTGCTTTTTGTTTTTAAAAGCCAAATGGACTGTACATGGGTGATCTGTGATTTCCCAAGAGGGATTAAAAATATTTGGCTGTTATTTAACAGCTGTTATCCAAGAATAGCAGAACGGTTTGCAGAACCAGGTTGGCATTACTTAGAGTCATGGAATGGTTTGGGGTCAGCAGGGCCCTTAAAGACCACCTCATTCCAACCCCCTGCCACGGGCAGGTACACCTTCCACTATCCCAGGTTGCTCCAAGCCTTGTCCAACCTGGCCTTGGACACCTCCAGGGGAGGGGCAGCCACAGCTTCTCTGCACAACCTGTGCTAGTACCTCACAGTAAAGAACTTTTTCCTAATATCCAATCTAAATCTACTCAATCTTTCATTTTGAAGCCATTCTCCCTTGTCCTGGGACTACAGCTCCTGATGATGTGCCCCTCTCCCACCTCATGGAGAACAACAGGTTGGAGACACCCCAGGATAAAAGAGGACAGGAAAACAGAGCATCGTGGAACCATGCAGAAGTTTCATTCCTCTTGTTACTGAGTCAGAGTGGAGCAAGTAGGCTGTGATCCCAGGATCCAGACTTGTAGCATTAAAGAAGGCAAGTGTGTGACATCACTCCTCATTTTAAGTTTAACCCCCTCCCAAGCCTGCTTTGGTAAAAATAAGATTTTTCCTGGTGTAAACAAGACTCGGGTGGCAGACACGAAATGAGTCACAATACTGGGGAGGACAAACGTGGGGTAACAGAGAAATGGAACTCACCGGTGGTCCAGGCCTGCCGTCTAAACCTGAAGCACCCTGAACAGCGGGGAGGGGTCACAAAAAAAACAAGGCAGAGGAGAGGGGAGGAGGGTGAGGGGAAAGGAGAGGGGAGAGGTGAGTAAAGCAGTGACTTGAGACAAACGTATGCTTGCCATCAACAAAAATTAAGATCTCAAGGACAGGTGATGGCACTTACAAGCAAACCAACAAAAACATAGAAACACTGAATACATATAATGTTGACCTGCGACTTTCAGATCCTCTTAAGATTGCAAATTTCCCTCTCAATGCCGCCAGGAAAACTCCTGGGGAAGCAGCTGTTCTGTGACAGGTGGCAAAAAGGACAATGACAGTGGAGCTGGAATCTGCACTGCCTTTGTGGCAGGCTGGGCAACACAGGTGAGACACAAGGCTCAGAGGCTGCTGCTCACCAAGGCATTTACAGGCACTGCAGAGCCATCAGCTGTTCAAGTTGCAACCAAGAACTCCGGGGCTTGTGGTGCCCACTGGGTCAGCTGCAGGCTTGCTCCACTCCACAGGCAGTTGTTTGGGGGCTTATGAAACAGGTGGCTCATCTCCCTGTGTCACCAGTGCAGATTTACACCAGACTCAGATCGAGTGGCACTTGTCTGCTCAGCTCTTGCCCTGAATTCCCTCATCCAGAAGATCTAACAGTGGCTCTGCCCAAGGCCCATCAAGCCCCGTGGCTTGTCTCAGACAGTGGCTGGGAGGGAAAGCTGTGGTAGGATACAAGTACCAAACACTGAATTTTCCTCCAGTTGAGCATGACAAACTCCTCACCCTGTCAGCCATGGAGAAGCCCAAGGCTACTGCAGACAATCAGGACTGGAATTCCAGCGTGATGTCAAGCCTCAAGTCAGAGAGAAAGGCAGCAGATCCAGCTTCAGGATTTTACAGTCTGAAATATTTCATAAACTGCTTGGCACTGCATTTAGCTTGACAGGCTGAAGACAGACTGGACCAGGCATGGAAAAGCTTCTGCAGAGAGTTCAGTGGCTCTGAAGAAGGTATCTGATCTTAAGAGCTGTGCTTCCTGGTTGGCCAGCTGACATTGCTGATCCAAACAAACATTTCTGAGAGGACCCTTCTGAGCCAGTCTTCCCACCTCCACAGTTCAGGAAGAGGGATGGGAAAAGCCAAGGGACCCCCATGGGACTCACTGCTGTAGGAGAAGCAGCCAGCACATTCCCTGCCACAAAGATGAGTTGTTGGGATAATTGCTGGGGCATCTTCTGCTCAGTTTGTCACAAGGACTTCCTTCCCCTGTCTGGATACCCCACAGACTTGAGGGAATAACCATTTACACAGAAAACTTCCATTTGCATTTCTCAGGGAACTGGCTTCTGACTTCCCAATGCTTCACTGAGACACAATCCCTTGTCTTTGAGCCTTCCAAAAGCATCCTTTTCTCCCCACTGGCTCTGCCTGGAGCCCTAGGGAATGCACTCATGCTGGGCTCATTCGAGTGCCTGGAGTTGGAGGGGACTCATTCAAGCTCTGGAAGGGAACTACTGCTCAGCACAACTAAAGGAGGAAAACATTTTACAAACAAAGACACGCACATTTCAGCCAGAGTCAGGGACAAGGGACGACAAAGCCGCACAGTACATGAGATGCACCCTGCAGTGTTCATTCCAGGCAGAACATTTGGGGAAGGTCTACTTTGCCACCAGTGCTTTTTATGATGAGAGAACTTGGTGAAACGACTGGGTGGGACTAAGCTACTACCAACTCATCATCAGGTTTGTATGGAAAGCTCCTGCAACTGTGTCCCAATTCCTCTGGCTAAGCCAAGCAGTGCTCTAACACCAGGCTAATGGGACAGAGCCCACACACTGCAGGGACACGCTGGGTCAGGGGGAGCGCTGATCCCACGGCAGAAGGGACAGGAATGTTTCAGCTGTCAAAGAAGCTGCTTGCATTAACAACCACCGTGCTTTGTACAAAGCTTAGCCCGGGAGACAAATGGCTGGGGAAGGAGTTTCTCTTTCCACATCTCTGACTTGGATTCCTGGTCTTGCCCTGAAGTGCAGAGAACCCTCAGGAAAGCTACTGCTTGTTTTTCCCAGTCCTGCCAGAATCAGGAGGAAATAAAGTGATCACTGATCTATTCAACAGATCTAGAAGTTGAAGGCTCAGTACAGAAATGGAGGCTTTGGGTTTAAAAAGCAAAGGCACAGTTATTTATAGACCATCTCTTTCTCTGACTTGACATACCAGATCCCCACGTGCGTCTCCTATTGAGGGATCTTTTTACAGCTGATATTAAGTTTGGCTCACAAAGTGCTGCTTGCTTCCTGGATACTTACGGGTAATCCCAGTGGCCCTCTGTCTCCTTTTTCACCCTGGGCACCCTTCTCTCCTTTCACTCCATCAATCCCTGCTTCCCCCTAAAGGAAGGATGGAGCAGAAAATAAACCCACCGTAACAGCACTTATATAACAAACATTCCTCCCTTCAGAGAGTGCTGCATAGCACAGGGAATACAAGAGGCACCAGACTAAGGCTTTAGCCCAATTCTCAGCCTAATTTGAAGACAACCACTGTCATTCAAATTACCCTCGAGTGAGCACTTGTTTTAACTCAGTGGCAATAAGAGGAGACTCAGGCCCTGTGGGTAAGGATGTTCAGAGGAGAACTGAGCTCACTCCAGTGCTGCTCTCCCTGCTGCTGTTGCTGTATATATATTTATATATAAATATAAATAACCAGAAGTTATCCGATACAATGAGTTTACATTTTAGGATGTGGATTCGCTGGAAGTGAATGACACGTTTCTATAAGCCTTGAAGAAAAATCATACAGAAATAATGTTTGGAAATACTTCTGTAAAATGCTAAGGCATCAGTTCCAACATTTCAGAAAAAAAAATTTCAGCCTTTTACTAGCCGTATTTTTTAAATTCTGTATTAAAAACTATAAAGCAATATTAAACAAAATACTCCTCTTTCTTACATTCAAAATGTAACCCAAAACTTTTTCCTCCTCATTCTTGTTCATAAGGCTTTTAAAAACATATCCATCCCTTTTAGTGCTCAAACAATGCTGGTGGCCAAACATTAAGGATAAGCAGAAGAATTAAGATGCTTTGCACATGTTCCAGTCTTTGCCCAGAGCATCATCAGAAAGATGCAGCTCTCCTTGAACATTTCCACTCCACTATTTTTTGTGTAGGAGCTGTTTTACAGCAGGCAAGCCAGGAGTGCTGAGATTAGAAATATTTTCACCACCAAGGATGGTGGAGTTCTCGAGTGCTTTACAAAAAAATGTACAGGGCAATTTTAAGACTAATTTTTAGCTAGAGCTCAGTTCCTTGGGACTGTGTGACAGATTATTCATCACACTGTACAGACCTCCACCCTCCAGACAAAGATTTCAACTGTGTTCTCATGGGCAGAATTCCACAGACCAGTGAATTCCCACTTCTCCGGGTGAAAATTGGAGGGAATGACCATTTTTCTGGGTCCTGAAATGAGAGCTGCTAATCCATTCCCTTCAAGAAAATATCCAGAAGGATTTACCCTCTTACTGGGGAGTTGTTACTAAAGGGAAGCTTAGCACCTGGGACACATAACTTCTGTTAAATTTCAGTGTGTAATATTTTGGACTCTTACCTTGGGTCCAGGAACGCCCTGAGGACCCTGCATTTGGGATGAGAGACAAGATATAAGTAATGTTCCAGGATGGGCTTTAAACTCCAGGTATCCCACTTAAGCATGCAGTACAAAAGTTTCACTTTCTGGGCCACGAACCCTCAGCCCAAAGGCCTCTTTATTTGTGTAGTGGGCACTTCATGTACAGTTCTCATCTCCAACGAGGAGCCTCTTGCCAAGCACACCCTGGCAGGGGGCCAGGTGTGCTATTAAAGACAATTTCTGCACTTGATCCCTTTAATCCCATCCATCCCATCTCACCACTGTCTTCCCTTTCATCTCAGACTAACATAAAACCTCCTTTCTCTGCCCTCCCAGCCCACTGCAGCTCTGACCCACCCTGGGGGTGGGTTTGGAAGTGATACTAAGCATGTTCCCATTTCAACACTGCAGTGGTTCTGGCTGTCTTCTCCATACAGCATCCTCCCCAGCCACTGCCTCTCTAATCCCATTCCCAGTGCCTTGCTCCTCAGGTGAATCACTCAGAACTTACTGGAGGTCCTGGAGGGCCTTGGGGTCCGGGGGGCCCAGATATCTGGAAAGCAAGGCAAGAGAAGTCACAGTCAATGTGCTGCCCTTAGGGACAAAGTGGGGCTGCTCAGAGGGGAGACAGGACAGAGGGTGCAGCAGAGCTCCTCCACCAGCCTGGAAAACCTGGACTCCCCCAAAGGACTGTGTTAGGAAGCAGCAGCAATCCAGGACTGAGTGGCTGGGAAGCAGCAGCAGGACTCAGGGGAAGGTCATGCAAAAGTTGCAGATGTTTAAGAGGAGGGAAAGCAGTGAGGTTTTTTTCCAAAGAAAGATCCACTATTCTACGACTATTCCTACAAGGAGGCATAGGGTCAAAGAGTAGAAGATGGAAAAGAAGGTGTCTTGCTCCAAGTGTGCCAATAGCCTGTGGGACTCCTTGCTGCAGGGCACTCCAAAGCTAGGGGTGAGCTTTGAGGGCAAATTCAAAAACACCCAAACCTTTTGGGGAAAAAAAAAGAAAGAAAGAAAATACATGTGTATATACACACATGCAAATAATTGCCAGGAAATGCATTTACTGCAAATGCTGAGGAAAGCATTTTTTATCTGTTCTTCCCTAGGCATTCCTTAGTGACTGGTGGTTGTGAGACAGATTGATTGTTCTTGTGTCAGGGAAAAGAGGGCACCAGGAGCCAGAGGTGGCTGGTGATCCAGCCCCACAGCATGAGGCTTGCTGTCCTCAGCAAAGGGGTGTCACCAGAGGGGGCTGTGCCAGTTTCCAGCAGCACCGCTGCCAAATCATCCCTCCCCTACTGCCAAGATCATGAAGGAACACAGCACAGGAACAGGAACCTACCGATTCTCCTGGATTTCCTTTGTCTCCACGCTCCCCAGGCTCACCCTTCTCTCCCTGCACACAACAGCAGACCCCATCACCACCAGCTGTGCTTTGGAGTCTCCCTCCACTGAGGCTGCCTGGGAACCACCCATGTGCTGGCAAGCAGCAGCTCCCCCAGGAGAAGTGGGAACAGACCATGTGTTTCACATTCCCTGGCTGCTGCTGGAGGCCTGGAAGACATTCTGTGACACCTAACAAAGGCTCCCAGGATACTCAGCACTTTGGGGAATGAGCCCTCGTGTGCTGCTCTATGCTATTTTCTTTTTACCAAGCAGGAAAGAGCAGCCTTTTCTTTTCCATCCTTACTGTCAGTCCTGGAAGTCCAATGGGCCCTGGCAATCCTGATGGTCCTGGAATCCCTTGGTCACCTTGTTCACCTTTCTCTCCAGTGGGGCCATCTAGACCCTATAGATCAAGAAAGATTTGTGGAGTTTTGCACGGCTAAGTCAGGCAGACATATAAGATATCAGTGCAAGAGCCAAGAGTACTCTGAAAACCCCGGACCTCCACCAGGTATCCAGGGAAATGCAGGGCTTCTCCAGTATTCAAAGTGGAGGGGCAAACAGCTGAACACCTTCCTGTCACTGTGCCAGTCCCCAGAGTGGGGACAGGGTACTGCTTTCCTGCCTCCAAGTTCTGCTCAGGGTTATGCAGTTTGCTGGAGTCCGTGCTAGGAATCACTCCTCACAGCCAGCTGTTGAGACAGCAGGAGTTTCATCCTGGTCATCCCACAGAGAGGCAGGAAATCTCTGCATTACCCCCCTGAGCAGTGCTGGGGACACAGAGGCTGTGACAGACTGAAGCTGGGAGGCTGGGCACTCTGCCCCAGCTAGGGCTGGCTTGTGAGGGGCTGCTGCCCTCCCAGGAGGGGTGTGCTGGTGCCTCAGCCTCCTGGCTCACACTCACATCTGCTCGCTTCCAGCAGCGTTTCAGCGCCAGCATGACACCAGGCAGCAAGCTGAGGAAGGCACCTGGGGACAGCCACACGTGCCAGGATCTCCTGTACTGTGACACTTCACCCACCTTGCAGGGGCTCTGAGGCATCCAAAGAGTCCTGGGGCCTTTTCCCATGAGCTGGGCAGCCACCAGTACTCGGAGAGGCTTTGATTTACTCACCGGTGAGCCTGCTTGTCCTGGCTCTCCCTTGTCGCCCTTTTCTCCTCTGATCCCCACATTGCCTGGCTCTCCCTTTATTCCAGGGGGTCCATCCTTTCCTGGCAATCCGTGAGGGCCAGGGGGGCCCATTTCTCCAGGCTTGCCACGTGGTCCCTAAACGAAATTCACAGCACATAAAGTGACACATTTACAGGCAGAGTAAGGCCACTCCTGCCTGGCCCAGAGCCCCTTGTACTGCTCATCCCTTCCTTGCCTTTGGAGACAGGACACAGTAGCATTGCCATGACAAATGTTAGGACATTGGCAAACGGCTAATGCTCCTTTTTGTGAAGCAAAATACTTTTTTCCCCTGGTGGGAAAAGCAACTGTGTGATGTCAGTGACAGAGATGACTCCAGGTAAGATCAGGTAAAGGAAGAGCATCGTGACTCACCTTTTCTCCATCATGGCCTGGAGGACCTGGCAAGCCAATTTCACCCTGAAACACAGAATTGTTACTTGGGCAGTTTGAAAGCAGCTATTCTGACTCCTCCTGTGGGGCAGTGTGATGAAAAAAGGCAGGCATTGCAGAAATAGACTGCATGGAATACTCACAGGAAAAAAAAAAAAAAAGGCATGAAAAATGCAAATTTTTTTTCTCCATAATCACCAAAAATAAAGTATGGAAACCCCTGGGTTTTTCTGCAGTCATAGAATTAAAAAACCAAACAAACAAACAAAAAAAAAAAGCGCAACCCCCCCCCAAAAATCCCCCAAAAAACACAGAAACCCCTGTTGAAACATTACATTATGTGACTGCCTGAGAATTTTCCCAATCTTGTTGATCCTGACTGCCAGTTCACAGCCCCAGTGCAGTCATGCAGTCCCCAGCCAACACAATCCCACAGTTTGGTTCCCACAAGCTGCTTCCTGAAGGGGAGGGCAAGTAGAAAGGATCCTTCATCTTTCAGATTAGGCATTATCATTGTGGGAAAAGAGATTTTCAGGATATTGTGTGTGAGGAGGAGTGGCAGAGGACAGCAGGACAGTCTGATAGTGCTGTACAGAAAATATAGGAGCACTGGGAAGAGTTGTGGGTGGGAATTCTGCCTGGACCACCCCTGTGTTTCCCTGAGGTTGTGCAAGTGCTGAACTGAGGCAATACCTTCTGTCCTGGTGGCCCTGGAGGTCCAGCCACACCTGGACGTCCTGGGGGTCCCTAGGTAAAGAAAAAAATTTATTTTCATATTATCAACAGGGTCTGTAATTTTGTGTTTTGAAATCAAACACCTCTCCTAAGTTTAAGGGGAAATCACAGAGGAATATTCCAAGGGGTACCTAAAATCATATTTTGTTGGGAAGATGAGCAATGAAGAGTTGCTCTTCCCTGCTCCTTCTGAGCACTCCCTGTTCTGAGCAGCATGTGTGACCTCTCAAAGCAGAGACATGAAAGTCCTGATTAGAATTCAAGTGCCAAGATCAGAAGGCAAGAGGAGCTCTTCTTTCAGCTGTCAGCTGCCCCAGCTTTAGCTCCCAATGGCAAAGGCCAAGTGTTTGAGTTGCACCTAAATTGTCAGGCCATCTGCTTAGGATGGACATATGGCTACTTGTGTAAAACCCCACAGCACAGACAGGACCTCACCATCAAGGCCAAAGTTCGTATTTCCTATGGAAAAAAAAGAGAGAAAAAAAGAAAATTGAAGTTAAAAAATAAAACAGGCATTAGAAAATTAAGCTTTTTCCTGGAGTTTATTTGTTCCCCACTAATGTAACACTGGCCCAAATGAATAAGGAGCTTACAAAATTTACAAGAGGGGGAAAAAATACCAAAAAACCAAACTAAAAACTCAGATTAAGCAGATCTACACTGTTCCCCTGTCTGTATCCCTTGGGAAATAGTAAAGCATCCAGCAGTCACCTCACAGGACAGGAGGGCAGCTGCTCACCTGGAGAGCTTCACTGATGTTCCCATCATAGTCCATCATTTCATCCTTGCCAGGCTCTCCCTTGGGGCCCTGCAAAATACCAGGTCTTCAGCCAGGGGCTGGGATTGCCCTTCCCTCGGGGTGCTCAGAGCTGTGGTGGTGCACTCTGAAAAAGGGGGCTCAGAGAGGCCCATTTCACGAGTGTCCCGTTTTTCATTTATTAAAGAAGGCCTCTGCAGTGCAGGAGATTCTACAGAATTGTAGAGCCATGATGGTCACCATGTCGTGACCATCAAAGCTGGCAGTCTGGGAAGAGGTGAAATCCAAACCAGAATGCAGGAACTGGATTGTTTGACCAATTCTTAGATGTGGGCATGCAGCCACCCTCTTGCTGCCCTTTTCTGGTAGGTCAAGGGCCTGAGTGCAGACTGGGATGTCCAAACCCACCTCCTGCAATGAATGAGCCACCCTGAGATGGCCTGGGAGAATTTTTTCCTCTAATGTAGGGGTGAGGGTATGGAGTGGAGAAACAGCACACCTCAAACTTAGCCACTGCCCATCTGTGGGTACTTTTAGTGACAGCAAGACCCAGTCTGGACTGTCAGTGTGGTCCCACTGTCCTTAGACCCTCTTTGTTAGTGAAGGAACACCTACCCTGGGCCCCATGGGTCCCTGGTCTCCTGGTGAACCACGTTCCCCCTGAAACAGGAAGATCACAGTTTTAACAAAGCCTGTCCCTTCACTTTCTTCAACTCCAGGAATTCAACTCTGCTGGTTCTCTGAAACAGTCTGGCTACGCAGCTTGATTTAAAATTCTCCTTTTCAGCAAAGTTTTGCACACATAGGAACAAATATGCAGCCGCTGAACCTCAGAACCCAGAGCCGGGTCGTGCAAGAGCACTCTGTACCTTTTCTCCCTGTGATCCTGCAGCACCAGGCTGACCAACGTCACCAGCTTCTCCCTGACAGGAAGAGAAAGGGAAAGGGATGGGTTTGTATTGTGTTGAGAGGATGCAACTTCACTGCTGGGTTCACATTTCCAGGAGGAAGAGCTGCAGAGCTGCACCAGCCAAGCACCATTCTCCTCGGGTAGCCCAAATCTCCTGCCACAACTGCCCCACCAAGCACCCTTCTGTTCCACCCAGTGCAGAGGGAGTGTTCAGACTGGTTTCTCACAGAGTCTAGAGGGAGTTATCTGAGCACAAGAAGGGAATTTTCCTTCCAAACACAGTTCACAAACTCTCTCACCTGCAGTATATAGAACAATGGTACTAAAACACTCTGTAGAACCTGATATCCCTCCAGCAGATACCCAGAGGTGGGCACAGATGAATACAACCTACACACCTTGTGCTGGGCACAGTCCCTCACAACACACAGCTCTGTGAGGGAAAAGTCACTCACCTTTGGTCCAGGGGGTCCTGGCAGACCTGGAGGGCCAGGTTCTCCTTTAACTCCCACCAAGGAATTCTCAGCAATTCCCTTCTCTCCCTGTTTGTGAAGAACAAGCCACATGTCTCAGTTCAGACTCTGCACCTCTGTAACTTCACTTGCCAGAACACTGGCTTAGAGAGACTTGGCCAAGACAAGGTGCATCAGCTGAAGTCTTGATAGCCCAGAGAGGCAGCAGCTAGCCAGGAACCAGGACAGCATGGTCCAGCCTGAGGCTCCTTGTGAAGCCCTGCCAGCAGCCACGCTCATCCCTTTGGCTGCACAAGGCTGCCTGTGGACAGGGCTCACCCCCCAGCCTCCCTCTGAACATTGTGTTGAAACTGAGCTGATTAAAGCACCTGATGATGGCTTTTTTGGGAATGTCTCTCTCTGGACCTGTAGTCATCAGCCACTCTCAGCTGACTCACCATGTGCTTTGCACAGGGCAGATAATAAGGCAGTAACAGGAAAGCTTTGCCATTACACCCTCATCCCTTCCTGACGTGGCCACTGGCATTGACTGCACTGTCCCCTTTCCCAAAGAAAAAGCAGCCTGTGCAAGCCTGATTTGGAAGGTGTGATTTCTATCTGAAAACCTCAGAGCACAGAGGAAAAGCCAGTTTCAGGGCTTAGCTTTATCTGACCTGCCCTGGGTTTCTCTGAGCACAAAGCTATTGCTCCAACTCAGAGCACAGCAGTGCAGCTCCCCAAAAGCCCATCTCCTCATCAGCCATGGATCCTGGAGCAGGAAAAGGCTGAAATGCCACCTTACATCCGAGGCCATGCTTTTAAAGGGGAACTAGTGGGACACGATTCTGTGCTCCTGCTCCCAGGACCACAACCTCCCCCTCACTGCAGGAAGGCATGAAATTCCTACAAAAAGGCATCTTTGGTGTGCCTCCCTCACATCCCTGTGTGAGGATGACATTCAGCTGAGCAGTGCAGATCACACTGTCACAGTCAGCAAAGAACGTGTGAGCTGTGCACAGGTGGAGGGAGGAAAAGGGGTGAGAGTAGCCCTCCCACCCCAAAAAAAAAAAAAGAAAAAAATTGAAAAAAAAAATTCAGGAAAGAGACAAACCTTTGGGCCAGGGAGTCCAGGAAGCCCAGGGTCACCAGCTCGTCCCTTCTCACCCTGTTGGCAAAACAGACATGGTCAAGGCTGACTCTGCAGGCTCTCCATCCTGGAGGAGCAGCAAAAGCGTGAGCTGCTCCTGCTTTCACACCCTCTTTCCCTTCCCTGGGGATTTTATTTTGGGCACAGACAAGGCATCCTCCTTGAGCAGTACCAGCTCAAGACATTACATGTTTTTGCCTGTCCTTCTGACTATCTCTGCACATGACTGCCATTTCTGTCCAAAGGAAGGAGAATGGGAAAGGGATCCAGGGTTCCCCCCTGTGCATCTTCCTTATCCCTCCGGTCTGCTAAACTTTTCCCTGTCAATTCTTCTGCACAGGCTTTCCCTAATCCATATCCCCACAGAAGCTGTTGCCCAGGGTGAATTTTAGTTGGAGTGCAGGACTTTCTCCATGCCCTGCTCCTCTTGCCCAGCTCCAAATCCCAGACTCATCATGCTCTCAAAAAAACCCCAAGCAGTGCAGCACCTCAGCTGGCAGCCAAGCTCTGGGACACGCACTGCTCATGTAAGCAGTGAAGACAGGAGTGGCAAAAATGGCAAAGGCAGCAGCTGATGGTGTAAGATGATGCCTGGAGAGCTGCAGGCTGAGCTGTGTGAGGCACCATGGAGCACAGAGGATGCCAGGGGCAGTGAGCAATGGAGAGCATCCAGCATTCCCTTGGTGAAGTGGCTTTGCTCAGTTCACCATGACACCTGGGCCAGATTTTAAATATTGGAGCTCAATTACTGGTCTTTATGTTGAAGTTAAGTTCTCTTCAGACCAATCCACCCATCTGGTTTCCAGATACAATGTCCTGCTTGGGAGTCTGCATTTTGCCAGGACAGAGAGAGATATTGGAGGTTTCTGTTGCCCTGAAGAAATGTTTCAAATGCATCACCAGGGAAAGGTGTGTTCTTAGATGCCATCCCCACAGCTCCAAGACTCAGCAACTTGTACAGATTATACAGAGGAATTCAAACCCTCTTTCCCCCCACAGGTGCCCAGCTCTCTCCTGGAGCCCTGCTGCTGGCCTGCAGAGGCTGGTGCTGCTCCTGAGAGCTCAAGGGCACACATCTGACATGCAGGGGACTTGCATCAATGCTCCAGGAGCAGACATGCACTGGTGGCTCCCTGGAAAATAATCTACTAGCAGCAATCTTTTAGTCGGGCAATTTTAGAGTGCAGTGACCCCTTTCTCCAAGGTAATTTGGCTTCCAGCCACCTGTAAGCCTCCCCCCCACCCAGCTTTCCTTCCCTGGCAGAGCATGCACATTGCTAAATTAGTGCTTTTTCCCCTGGAAAGAGGGAAAACATTTTCAGGACCTCATACCCAAGGAAAAAAGTTTGGCATTGGAGGTTCCTTTAAAATATAATTCCTAATCCTGCTCCAGAATCCCCCTGATTCCACCTTGGTATTCCACTTTTCATTCAAGGACTGTTTGGAATACACGTGTCCATAAGAGCTACTGAAAACATCCTGTGCTGCCAGAACTAGGGTGCAAAGCAGTGGATTTCTTGAGGAAGGGGCTCAGATTACTGAATCCCTGTTTAGGGTGTTATTTCTGGAGTCGAGAGATGCAGCACTGTCCTTAATCGTTCCCGGGACAAGACTACATCCCAGGCATCTCATGCTGCCCTGCCTGCCACCAAACCCCCCCCTTCCTCCTCCTGCAAGCAAACACACTTCACCAAGGGGGCAAGAGCCAGCAAAGGACACATAATCCCCCCACAAGCACGGTAATGCAGCACACAGCAGCTCCTGCTCGCAGGGACACAGCTCAGCTCTGCCAGGACACCCCGCCCGAACACACAATGTCCTACCCGCTGCCCCCTCTTCCCTGGCAAACCTGGGGGGCCCATCCTCCCTGGCACTCCAGAATCTCCCTTCGTGGGGAAGAAAAGAGACAGAGAACGTGTCTGTTAGACGGCTGTCACCTGCTGGAACGCAAGCCAGCGGGCCTCCAGCAAGAGGAGCCAGCTGCTCGGGGATGGAGAGGGATGGGGCACCTCGGGAACTCACTGCACTGAGACAGGGACATGGCAAGGCACAGAAGTACTGGGAGGCAGAAGGGGGACAAGGGAAGGGGCTTCCTAAGCAAAGCGTGCCCTGTGTGTCTTGTGGAGTAGGGAGGAAAGCAGCTGGAAGGTGTTCCCATTGACACAGACACGAGCAGGAGGATGGAAATATTTGCAGTATGGTCCCTCTCTCCTTTGGTATCACCATCTCCTACTACCGTCTTGCTCAGAGTGGCAGGTGCCATTAGGGCCTGGATTTGGGCACTGGGAAGCACACAGACATTCCTCAGCTCCCTCAGCTGCTCAGGGAGGGGGAAAACCACACAAACCAAGCAGAAGTGCAGGCTCAGAGCAAAACCTTCCGAGAGTACCTTTTCTCCTGGAGTCCCAGGCTCGCCCTGGTGAGAAAGAGACAGGAAAATAGAGTGAGAACTCACTCACCTGGAGGAGAGAGTACAAATCCTCCTAGAGCTATCAGACTGAAAGAACATTCATCTATGGGGGCCTTGAGCTGGTAAGTAAGGGCATCACAATGCTTCAGCTGCATATTTTTGTGCCTGGGGCTTCTTTTATCTTCATTAGCCAGCTGCCAGGCTGCTGTAAGAAACCACCAAACCTCAGACTCGTGGCTTCCACAGAATGGAGCAACCACCTTGCAGCACCTGCAGATGTTTGCCAGATACAAAAGAGCAGAGCAAGGCAAGACTCATGTGCTGGCACAAAGGAATTTGCTGCTCCTTGCTCTGTTTTGCCAGGAGAAGGGCGAGGCTGCGGGTGCAGCTGGGGGAGGCTGCGCTGACCCGAGTTCACCGCAGACAGGTCTGGTACCTCTGCCAAAGGCACGGCAGTTCTGATATTCCCCATCAGTGGGAGCTCTCCGACCATTTTCTAGCTCCAGCCCGTGCCCAGCTCAAGGCATTGCAGTGCAAAACTGACCTTCATCCCTGCGGCGGCCATCCCTGGAGCGCCCTGGCACAGAGAGCAGAGACAGCAACACCTCGTTAGGAATGATTTAAAACTGAAATTTCTCAGAACGAAACAGCATCGGCCGGGTGAAACTAAAAATGCAAAACCCCACATCTTCTCCTTTCCACAGCTCAGAGGTAATGCTGTAACACCGCACAGCACAAGTCCTCATTCCCTGAGCAGCCGTTCACCTACGGCAGTGGCTCTGGGCTCCAGAAAGCTCTTCCAAAGGCGGGCACCATGAGCACAACCCAACAAGACGAACGGATTTACACCCCACCCCTGCCACCCCTGGTTTTAGTCCTGCAAGTGAAGCAAAGGCCAACAAGCAGAACCGTGTCAAATAACCGAGGGATGCAAAGACAGACCAAGGACCAAACCCCCGCCTTCAAGGCTTGAGCTCAGCTCGAGCATCCTGAGAAAGGCCAGCTCATACCCCAGAGCCTTGCCTTGCTGTTCCCCCTCGGGCTGTTTTTACCACAGAAGGCAAACCCTGCAGTAAAATGCTTCCAGGAGAGCTCTGAAGCCAGACACCTTAGGGGGAAAAAAACCAGACTTCCCAGCACTGCAATTCAGGTGTCATTCTGCAGCACAGAGCAAGCCATGGGACAGCACAGGCTGCCCTGCCACCCCAGACAGGTGCCTGGGAGCCTCAGGAGCAGCTGCTCCCATCGGGACTGTCACATTTCCCTCGACAGCACTGATGCAAAAAGCAGGTTGTCCCTATCAACCATCCGCTCTGAAATCTCTGTATCCCCTGTATTAGCATTAGTTAGGTCCTGGTTAGAAAAGGTGCAGTTAAAAAAGCAAATATGGGGGATAACTAAGGAGAGGGGAAGGGAGTGAAGTGGTGTTAGAAGTTGGGAAATATGAGAGGTTGGGATGTAGCACATGAGGCAGTGAGGAGGACTGGGAGCCAAGTTCAGAGTGAAAAAAAAAAAAAAAAGCTTGGAAAAGTTCAAAGAGCCAGAGAGCAGCAGGATCATACCTCTCAGCTTTCTGAAACAGAAATCGGGGACAAAAGCTAAAAAACACAAGGACAGAAGATGGAGATCAGGGATTCTATGCAATAAATGGAGGGGAAAAAAGCATTCCAGATTGTCTCAGGGTCAGTAGGTTTTAGTGAACACAGGCTAGAGTCATGAAAGGGATAAGGTGCAGTGAGTGGCTTTGGTTAGGCCCTCACAGAGCCTTGGGATGCCTGCTCCTCGTTTTTCAGCCATCAAACAGCAGTGAACACAGATCGTGTTATTTTCTAGTATTTACCCTCAAACTGCAATCCACAGACATGCAGGGCTGCTCACACACACACACTGACCCTGATTCATCACTGCATTAGGCCAGGTTCCCACTTGGACAGCCCTGCTTGTCCCAGCTGGGCTAACAGTGGTCAACCTGGGAGCCCGATTCACAAAACACCAATTCCCTACCAAACATCAGCAACTGGCTGCTCTCACTGGTGTAAAGCATTAAGATCCTGATGCTGCAAGTCAGCATCAGACCGGGCATGCCATTTGCTCTGTAAAACACTTCTTCCCCCACCACTGCCTCCATAAATGAGGCCCTGTATTTTGCAATTTAGCAGCATAAATAGTTCAGCTGAGGACAGTCACACACACAAATGCCTGTGCATCAGGGGCAGTCGAGTGCTGTGGGTGAGTGGGGCAGACAAGCATCACTCCTCTGGTTACAAGGTACCTTAGAGCCATGTCTTCCTGGCAGCCCTGGCATGCCTCTCTCCCCCTGGAAGCAGAGCAAGACACACAGAGAAAGACAGCAAGAGACAGGAGATGAGTCCTCCCAGGGCTCCACGAGGAGAGTGCAGGGCACAGATGATGAGGAACCATTTTCCCCACCTGACTGCCCTAGCTGGGCCATTTCCCATCAGTGGAACCTCTCAAGCCTTACAGCAGGACTGACCCTACTGGAGTGACCCTGCTGCCACCTCCCATGTCACAGCATGCTCTAGGGCACAGGGAGGCACTCGGCCTGCACTGACCCTGGGATGAACAAACCTATCTGGAGAGACAGAGGATCCAAGGCCTGCCTTGGGCTCTTAGCCTGAATTTTGTCTGCTCATAGCTGGAAAATTAAACATCTCCAGGCAACCTGCATGCTGCTGCTGTCATTTTGTTCTGGCTGTTCAGTCCTTGCTTGGAAGGGCTATTTAGCAAGGATATACATATATGCTTTTTAAAAGAAGGACTTTTTGTAATTACAGCACCCTGTGAACTATATTTTGTAAAACACCTTCTAGTATCATAAATATACAGGCACCTCCTGCCCTACACAGCCTACTTAACTACCCTATTTTCAGCTGTAAGAAAAGCAAAGCAATAATTAGGAATACTTTATATTGGAGAACGTGGATCTCTCTCTCTCTCTCTCTCTCCTTCCAACTATGCTCCCTGTCTTTTTTAAGTGAGACCCAGACACCCACCCTGTCTGCAGAGACCATAGGGCAGCCCAGTCTGTGACAGTAATTCCCCTTCCAGGAGACTTTCCTGGAAGAACTGCCCTCCTGAAGAGCTGTTCATTATTTTATCCTGCAAAAAAGCAAAGCAGGAAGCATCTCCCCCGTGTCTCTGGAAGATTTAGGCTGCACCTTTCCCTTCCACCTCTCTCCTCTACCTGGTGTGAGCAGCTCTATCCCCACCGGGTGCCAATGATGCCTCACGCTGCTCAGCTCATTAGCTGCCAATTAAAACAGACACCCTTCCTTTTGCTCTCTGCTGTGAGGCAAATTGTCAGGGGTTTATTGAGAAAGGCTGTGGGCGCTTCATGGCTCTTTCCCCAGAGCCTTATCCTATGGATCTAACAGGAAAAAAAGTAAGAAAAACATCAGTGAAGCTGAATGTGACAATCTGGGGGCACTGAGTCAAATGCTCATTTAAGTGGCCCGGGTGATCACATCACTGCCTAATGACCTTCCTGAGACACAGATTTAGGTCCTTACACGATCAAAGTACAAACGGTGGCCACAGAAAAAGACAGCTGAGAGACAATCTAGGTTGTGCTGCACTTGCCCCTGGGTGGGGAGAGGTGGTTAAATGAACAGGGGGTCTGTGTGACACTAGGAAACCTCTTCGGGCCAGAGATGTTCTTCACTGCCAGCCAAAGCAGTGATAACCCATTCAAAATTGGCCACTACAGCTAGTCTTTGAATCATAGTGTTTGTCCAGGGCTCCTCAAGGCAAAGAGAAGGTAAAATCTAGTCAAGGTAATTGGATCCAAATTTGGAAGATTTAAAAGTCTTCCAGAGTCCCCATCAATCCTTCTAAGGTGGGAGGACAACAGAAAGAAGCAATTTCCAAAGACAACAAAGGCCCGTGCTGTGGGATGCTCGGGAGCTGCTGCTGGGTGAGGTCTGGCTGCTGATTTAAGAATGTGTCTGCACTTCCTTTTCAACTCCTCTGAGCAACGAGAAAGGAAGTCAAGAGAAAAGTGACCTTGACAGTAACGAATGACTGTTACTGTCAATAACATGAAGAGCTGGCTGGTCCTTGTACACGGGCACGAGCAAAGCCAGCGTCCCAGGGCTAGCAGTGAAACGTGGGGTTTTAAGCAAGGACAAAACACAGCTTCTCCTTTCAGCCTTTTCTCCCTCCCAGGCCACACTCTGGCTTTAGTCCTTCAGTTCAGCTTAATGGGAGACCTGCTGTTGAGAGAGCAGCAAACTCCAAGGCCTGGAAACACATCAGCTCTGGGTGCAATTCCACCTTCACTCACACTGGTGCAAACAGGAGCAGTACCTTTGTGCTTGACAGAATTACACTGATGTGGAGATGGACACAGGGAACCTTTGGAGTCTACATGCACTGCAGTATTTCTGAGGAGGTATTGTTTTCTTGTAGGAAGACAATCACTGCTGCTCTATTCAGCTATGAGCCCTGCATGCCCACAGAACATTTCTTTAAACTCCAAGTAAAGCATCATTGCTAAGCTCTGAAGGGGCCTTTTCTCTCTTCAAGCAGTGATCTACCCAGATGGAAAAGATATAGAAAGTGTATGTGCTGCAGGATAGATGAGCTGCATGCCACACACTAAATACTTGAAATGTACGTGTCACAGTTAATGCCTTTCCCAATATTACAGGACCAGTCTTTCCTCACAATGTCTAAGATGTATGGCATGACACAGTGTGCTCTGACTGCCATGAACACTTGCCAATGTTGTAATGTTTTAAGCACGGTCTGCATTGAGTAATATACTTTAAATATATGGGTACAGTAAATTTCAGTCAAATAGATAACATCTGGGCAGAGACCATATGAGCCTGTTAAAAGTGTCCAGAAACAGACAGGAAAGCTGGTGCCAAACCTCAGCCTGAATCGGGGAGTTTGAGCGGATTTGATGCGTCAGCTAACCAGATTTTATGAGGAAACCCCAACCTAGCCCATCAAATAGAGAGATGCAACAAATCACCAGCAAGCTTCATAGTCAGAGAAATGCCTTTGGTAAGGATGGAATTCCACCGAGCGGATAAAGGCCTGAGCTCGGAGTGCCTGTCTGTGGTTAATCACAGCACAGATGTGCACTCCATCAAACACCCCACAGAGCTGCCTTGGACACAGCTTCCCCTTACAATCCATCAGCCCAAGGAGAAGCATCTCCCAGGTGATCTACTGTGAGTTAGAAAAACGTATTTGTCGTGCCTACCTTAATGCCAGCATCCCCTTTTTCACCCTGCCCAGCAAAGGAGAGAGAAAGGGGGGAAACAGAGAGGGACAGTGAGCATAAAGGGAAACCAAGCAAGCACTTCAATTTTAACAGCAAGAGAGAAAGTAGCCAAAAGAGGGGTGTGACAAATGCAACCCCAGCGCTCTGGTTCTCCTCACAGCAAGGTTGGGAGCAGCCCAGCACTGGCTGCAGCCCTCCCTCCCCTCCCAGGGGGTGCAAAGGCACTTCAGGTCTATGGAGTGGATGCTGGGGGCTGCCCAAAAAAACTCTTTTCTACACGATAAGGGTGTAGAAACCATTCAAACATTTCATGGCCCAAAGTACCTTCATTTTCCCAGCCCTGGTGCAAAAGCCTGTAAAGGCTGGGTCAGTTTTATTCTTTAATGGGGGATTGTGTAGGTCCTGGTTCAGGGCAGCATGGAATCACCTTGGCCAACAATCGCCCAGATTCTTCACACAGGAGCAAGTGTTCCTGCCTACGTGGTTCATTCCAGGCTCTAGAGAACTGTCTCCAGCCCCTGGCCTTGGATGTCCCTTTAGGACAGGCTTGTGCCACTTTTCTGCCCCCACTGACTGGAGTTTAAGGGTTACCTTGGGGCCAGAGGCTCCAGGGAGGCCACGGGCACCGGGCAGGCCTGACTCGCCCACCTCACCCTGAGGAAGAGAAGAATTCAGAAAACAGTGCAAGAAGCAAACACAGCAGCAAGAAAAGGAGCTGTGGGATGCCAGGAAGGTCAGCAGAGGTGTTGAGAGGGATGTCCCACACACACCAGCCCACCCCTGGGTCTCTGGGAGAGGAGAACCACTCAGTGCATGAAATACACGGAGTGAAGGAAGCAGTGCCATATCTTACATCGTATCTGAGTCAACTTCCCTCAACATTTAGCCTTCTTTTCCCTTCCCATTAGGATCTGGTCCCCTACATTCATCCATTCCTTCCAGCTTTCCCAGAGCAAGGTCACAGCCTTGGGCTCATCCTCCCAAGATCAGTGTGGGCTCTCTGCTCGGAAGTGAATTAGCCAGACAAGTTGTTTCATGTAAGAGGAGCTGGCAGGAGAGGCCCTCGCTGTGAGGTCGCTGCACACACACAACAGGATGGGCTCCTAATGGAAAATCCAATGGTTCACTGGGAGAAGGGGCAATAAATTGTGTCTGTCTGCAGGAGTGGGCTGTGGTCTGCAGGGGCTATAATTTCCACTTCCTGACATAACAGAAAACTTCTCCGTTTATACAGAGCTAATTAAAAAGCTCTCAGGTCTTGCCATTTTGCTTGCAGAGCACCCATAAAGCTAGGTGGAGATAACAGGGGAGGCAGGATTCCTTCCTGCTGGGAACATTCACCTTCCCCTTCTGCAGCTGACATCTCTTTAGCAGTATCTCTTCATTCCCTCTCTCCCGTTTGATCTTCCTTTGTGTCTCTCCCCTGTCTCTGTCTCTTCATTACGCCCTCCGGGCTTGACAGCCCTGCTGTTAATCAGCTGCTGCTGAAGGCATTCGGGCATTGCCAGTTTCTGCCTTTTAACTCGGAGCAGGATTGACTCTTTCCTGTATCCCAGAGAGGGATTTGGCCCTTTCCAGCTTCCCATGTGGGTCTGGATGCACAAGAAATGCATTTCAGCCTGGAAGTGGGTGTAGAGAGGCACAGCCAGATGTCTGTCCTGTAGCTGCTGCAGAGTTGAAGATAACTCTGGGTCCAGGCTCTCTTTACACAGGTGACAGCAGGGAATCTGTGGGCCTGCTGCAAACCCAGCAGGAGCAGAGCTCCACAGGAGGCTCCAGCACAGTCCATGGATTTGCAGCCATGATTCCACAAAGCATCAGTGCACTTAATTCATTTAACAACACTGCAGCTTCCCTCCTTACCTTTCTGCCAGGGAATCCCTGAATCCCAGTGTCTCCCTGCAAAAGGCAAAAAGACACAAGACAATGAGGCTTGGCCTGAGAGGGACAAATCTCTGCCCTTTCCCCTGGGGTATTGCTGGGATGGGAGAGCATTCCACGGGGAAAAATCTGCCTTTTGCTCAGAGTGATTCCACTGAGCTCCTGTCCCTTCAGACCCACAGGTTAGCATTACCTGCACTGGGCTGAGCCCTGGCAGACAGGTGACATGTCTCAGCTCTGTGCCCCAATTCCTTGGCTCCTATCTCCTCACCCTGGTTACATATCTCAGATAAAAACTAATTAGGTTGGGTGGCTGCAGCTGAAAAACAACAACCACCACCCCCTCCCTCGCACTTTGGCAAGTGAATAAATGGGAAACCGTGGCAGAGTCAACAATAGCATTGCAAAATCCATTCCTGAAGCACTGGGAAATGCTTTGAGAATGGAAGAAGCCAATAAAGCTGTGTGTGGCAAACAGTTTTGCAAGATGGGCTGATGAGGCGTGCCTGGCTCAGTGGAGATGCAACTCAGACGTGTTGCCTGGACAAAACCCATGAGTCAGCACACAGGCCAGGCCCCAGGGGCCATGCTGAGCTGGGTTAGGAAGCTTCCTCAGCTATTTGATGGAGCCTCTTCTACCCCTCCTCCTCCATCCATCAAAATGCACACATCTGTCCTTGTCAGGAGAGTCAATCTCTGCTCATCATCTTCCTACACCTCTAAGTGAGGTGAGATGTCTCACCTTTGGTCCAGGAGGCCCAGGTAAGCCCTGTGGATAAAATCAAAACAGACACTGGGGTTGGAAAGTGTAGACATTGCATGGAGGGCAGGGTGATGGCTGGTTTGATTTCAAACACCCCTTAGAGATTCACACTGGTGAGCTCAAAGATCCCCAATCTATTCTTCATGGAGATATCTTAGTCCACACACCCAAATAAATTCATGCCCATAGTGCTCCATCCCCCCAGGTTTGTTCTTGCTGAATCTGAAGACTAAAAGGCTGCTTGGCCTTATGCATTATGCTCCAGAATCTTTTCTGTTTCTCTGGCTTGCTTAGGAAACTTGTTCCCAGCCCACTGCAGCTCTGGAATAAATCAGGCATTTGCAGCTTCCTCTGGCAAGCTAAACAGAGAGAATATATTAACAAACAAACCACTTGTGTCTTCTAATGAGAAATAACCAAACAATTTACCTGATATGAACCATGAAGCATACCAGACATACGTGTGTGTAAATATAAATAAACAAAATATCTATGCAGGAGCTGCCTGTGAGCAGGCAGGAAAGGAAAACCACTCTACATATGCTCTGATGCTTATACCACCCTTGATGTTGCCTGCTTTGGCAATTCAGGTGTTTAGCCATCCTGTCCCTGGCTCCTCGGAGAGAGATGAAGATCTCTCTGAGAGAAATGAGGGTGCTTACAGGATCCCTGACCCCTGGATTTTGTGTGGAGAGGTGGATTTGCCTCCAGGGACAAGACTTGCTTGTCCTTCTAGCAGGCTTTGAAAACTCTTTGAGATGGAAGCTCCTGTCATCCCGCAGTGGCTGCAGAGCCAGCGTGCCACGTTTGCCCCTGCAGCTCCCAGGAAGGGAGCTGGATTCTGGTACCCACCTTTCCATCTCTGCCAGGCTTTCCAGGCTCTCCCGCTCTGCCCTGTTGCAAGAGAGGTACATTAGCAGCATTTTCTGTCCTCTGCCCTGCCTTTCAGCAGTGGCATTATTTTATAAACGGGGCTTCTGTTCCCACCCTCCTCGGCTGCTTGCCAGGACAGGGACAGCACTTCAAAGGGGTGGCAGGGAGCACGACAATTACACCCCACGTGTTACTTCCTCCCCCGGGGCCATCCGCAGGGGCTGGGGAGGAGGAAATGAGCCCGGAGTCCCCCACTGTGTGTCCAGATAGCAGCAGTGCCCAGTTCACATCTCTGCCTTCCCTCTCACTCCCCTCCTTCCCTGGAACTTGTAACTCTCCGTGCATCCACGTTCTCAGCTTCACTAGAAGCAACAGGGGCCAGAAGAAACAGCCTGTGCCGTAGGGGATGGGGAAGCAGAAGGATCTGGGTTTTGGGAAGCACTTACAGGGGGTCCAATTGGCCCAGGACGCCCTGGGATTCCTTCGGGTCCGGCTGGTCCAGCGGGCCCTGGTGGACCAGGGGGCCCCGGGGGGCCCTGGATCCCTGCTTGTCCTTGTTCACCCTGCAGTTCGGAAAACAAGAGTTACCAGCAGGCAGAACAAAGCCTTCACACCACCACCCTAAGGCAGGCCAGGCTGACTGAAGCAGAGGAGATAGAAGCAAGTCCCAGGTTACTGCCAGGAGAAGTTTCCAAGAGTGATGGAGAGCCCTGCCAAGGACAGCTGGGGAGCAGGAGCCAGCACCCAGTGGTTTGCAAAGACATCTGAGGCCACCTGGTCAGAGCTCCCTTCTAAAGGAATCCACTGATGACAGAGCAGTCCAAAGAGACCTTTATCTTCATTGAGCCAGTCAAGTAAAATTTATGTGTCAAGGACCAGCATCTCTCGAGTCTCTGAGGAGGTTTTCCAAAGCACTTGACAGTCACATGTGAAGCAAAGCCTCCCGTGACGACACTGGCGCTTGCAGGCAGAGCTGCAGTGTCTTACCTCAGCCTGTTTTTCCCCCATACTATATTTGTTGGACAACACTCCCTCTCTTTTGCCAAGGACCAAAAGTAGAAATGCCACAAAACCAGAAGAAAATAACACGATCATCATGGCATTCCTGGAGCCCAGCCAAGGCAGGCCCATGTACACCAGGCAGAGCCTGTTTTTCTGAGATTTAACAAGGCAGTGCCTGCTGAGCCACCTGCCATTTTCAGCTCTCTGGAATGGAGCTGTTTGAGCCAGTTCCTCCCCAGGCCCCTCAGTAGCCACTGGTGGCTGTGGCTCATGCCTCAGCAATGTCATCTGGCCCAAAGGACCTGGACGTGGCACCGAGCGGCACGGAGGAGACAGTGGGTTGGAAGCACCACGTTTGAATACCAGACTGCTGATCTAGGATTGATGAATCCAGCGAGCTCCCAGGGCACTGTGGCACCCGTGCTAAGCTGTTTGCTTATGAGGCTCACCTCCCTAGATAAAACACCACGACAGCCTACTGCTAGTGAATCTGAATTGTGAAAATTTCAATCTCAAAAACTTTCCCTGGTGGATCCACGGGAAGAAAGAAACCAAACGTGGCTGTTTCTCAGTTAAAAGTCAGTGGGTGTGCACTTGGGTCTCCGCTGCATTTATCCTCTCCACAGCCTTACACGCTGGAGGAAAATGCATGAAATCCGTCCCCCGCGTTCCTACCAAGTGCGCTGTTTACCCTGGCTGCCTTTATTAAAACACGCAGATACAGGGATGTTTGCTTTATTTAGAATGATAAATGAAAGTAATAAGCTGCAAATTTCATCCTTTCTGCCATGAGCTCTATTTAAAAGAAAATTTCCACCACGTGGGCCAGGCTCACGAGAAGCTGGGTCATATGTGGAGCGACAGCCCTTTTCCTGTGCCTCACTGTCCAACCCTCAGCCCACGCTGGGAAGCCTGCTGGGCCAGGCACGAGGGGTGCCCTTGCTTCTCCCCATTTTTAAAGTGCATCTTCATTCATCCCTTGCAAGGGAATGCAGGTTCTTCACTAGGCTTCCTTATCCTCCACACTCGGTGCTGTTCAACTGTCCTTGTAAATGTTCTCACAGCTTTTAAATACGGAAGGTAATTTGGATCTAATGAAGATGTTGGGGGGACGCTGGAATATATTTCTAGATTTCCTCTTGCCTTGACCTCTCATTCCAGCTTCAGAAGCTTTCCTGCCACTGCATCTTACAACACCCATAGCATAGGTGCACCATGGGAAGGCAAAGGGGGCTCTCCCACCTCAGCTGCTCTCTGCCAGCCCGGTCCACGCCCCACATTTAGGGCACTGAAATGCAGCATGGTGCTGGAATGGGGCGCTGGGCAGAGCACAGGGAGTGGCTGGAAGGAGCCCACCCAAAGTCCCGTTTGCCTCACCCTCACTTGGCCGCCTTGGGCACAGCAGGCTCTGTCTAGGAGAGTGCCCATCCTTGCAGATCCCTAAACACACCAAGTGTTATTACCACATCGTTATAGTCTCATTAATGTGCGCAGCACAAAGGACCCCCACAGAGCTCAGTGGGACAGTAAGTCGATACTGTAAGCGGGAGATCAGGTGTCATTTTCCTCAGTTGTCATTCTGTATTTTTAGCTGTCGACTGGAACTATTTTTCAGTTTTTTTAAACACCAGCCAGCCACCCTGACTGCACCCCAGCAATGCTTGCTCAGCCTCCTCACGGAGGACCCCACTCAGCCCATGTCTCAGCTGAGCCCCAGCCCTCGGGCAAAGCACTCCTGCTGACGTGCTCAGAGCAGGATTTTCCTCCCTTCCAGGAGCTGGTGCTGACACCCACTGTGCAGCCTCACTGTTTTTTCTTCGTATTCATTCACTGGGCTCCTGGAATTGCCTGGTGCTGGCAGATCTGGAGGAGCAGAACACACCGTGCTGCATTTAGGGGATGAATACGGCAAAGGCAAAACAGATCACGGCAAAACTCTCCGGTGAAGTTTTCCTTTGCGGACAGAGGGAATTTGCAGCCCAGGCTGACGACAGGATGTAGGGCAGCTATTCAAGTTTCCCACTTCATCCTGGAGAGGAACTTCAGCTTTCAAAGCCTTCCCAAGAGGTCAGTCCTTGGCCTGGTTCTCCAGACTGTCACTTTGAAGGGCAAGCAGCGCAATCCTTGGGGCTCTGTGCGGTGCGAATGCTGAATCGATAGAAACCGAACTGAAACCGCGGGCTCAAGTGGCAAGGTCAGGATTTGTCCAGCGCTGGGCAAGCAGCAGGCACCTCGTGGGAAAGGTCTCCTGCATCCTGCAGCTCCCTGCTAGCATCCTACTGCCTGGACAGGCAGCAGGGTGACAAAACCCAGCTACTGAATAGAGGGTGCCCAGCACACTTTCAGCGGGGTAATTGCAGCAGTTTGTCCACACGGGAAAGCTAATCCCGATGGGTGGAATGAGGGAGCATAAAGTGGGCTCATTAAAAGAACTCTGACTATGGACACTCTAATTCACTATTCATATGGCCGTAATTCACTTTATGAATTCATTCCCAAAATAAACTGAACATGAATTATGGCCCTGGAAACCAAAATAAATGTGTTTACACAAAGATTTAATGCGATCTAATGAAACCATTCTAAGAGCTTATTTAAACACATTTCCCCAAGTGCCTCAGACTAGACTAGCCCTTAGAAGAAGCTTTGCCTATTCATTCATCTCAGTTAAATTTCACAGACATTAGATGTATTTCAGCAAGAGGCTTCCAACCTCTTCTGGAGATTGAATATGCAGGAACTGACTCCTTAAGGGAGGAGGCTGCTTGTCGACAGCCCCAAGAACAGCTTCATGGCCCATTTCTTTTAGTTCAAAAAACTGGCTTCGCTGCATTTCTTTTTAGCAACATTATCACATCAAAAGATTTCCTCTGCTTGAAAGAAAGTCCCTCAGCTCTGCCTGAAACTCTTGGAAAGCCCTCTGTAGGGGAAGAAAGACAGGTAGCAAGCTGATGAATTGCAAGCATTGGGGTAAGCTCAGAAACAGGCGACGAGGGGGAGAAATCTACCTGGAAAGTGCGTCTCTTTATGACCGGAGGTGGAGCCAGCCGCACGGAATTGAGGAGAGGCAACAGCTGAAGAAATCAAACCAGAAGGTCGCAGGGCAAAGGAGGAGAGTCAGAGAGCAGCCAGGGGAGAGAACAGAGAGGGGGGAAACAGAGAGATTGCCATGAAAATGAAGCCCGGCGTGAGAGCGGGGTGGGTACCTGCTGGCAGACCTCGGAGCAGCTCACAGGGGCACCCACCCAGCAGGTGTGGGGTGCCTGATCACCATCCCAGAGCTCCCAGTGCACTGAGCTTTCACAGCTTCCTCTGCTCCAAAACAGAACCTACCCGGGGGATTTTTGCTGTGCTCATGTCCTTAGAAAGTGCTCACTGCAAGACTCCGGCTCTGCTAGGGTGTCTGGCGATGGGACTGCTTCTCTTAACTTCCCATCATCATCAGATTTGGGGCAACTATCAGAATAACAATTTTCTCCAAGTTTTCCAAGTGCAGTTTTCTACTTCTCTCATAAGAAACCCAGCGTATCTCCAGGTCTCACCCTTCCTCCAGGTGTGGAAGGGAGTGGAGAAAGGCTAGCTGGGGTCAGCACAGAGGTCCTGGCCTGCTTCACCTAACTTGGCAGACACAAGCACCAAGCACCATGGCCAAGGGAGCTGGGCTCTGAAGCACGGCATTGCCTTGGCAGCCCGTGCTTTGTTTTTCCTTGCTCAACAGTATCATCACCTTCTGACTGCTTATAGCCAGGAATGCTGCCTTGGGGCACAAAGCTGACCCGGACACACAGAAATCAAATGCACTAAAGCTCATGAGCATTTGTTCATCCTTTTGCTGTATCCAGTTTCCACTTGCACGCACGCTGCTGTCAGCCTGGCACCCACCATGCCGGCTCCAGGCCCAGGAATGCTGCTCTGGCCTGATCCACTTTCCTGTTCCTATCAGTTTTCCATTGAAGCTGCTCTTGGTTTACACAGGGAGAAACGAGGGAGCCTTTCTGTGCTGGGGCACAAAAACGTGCCCATGTGCCACGTGAGCTGTGCACTCAGATCCCAGAGGTGTGCCCGCAGGTGTCCCACCACAAAAACCGTATATACATCCAAGGAGCACATTTTCTTCCCTTTAAACACTGTCCTTCATGTGTGCAGTGAAAGCAAGGACCCAGTCCTGTTGCAAAGAGAAGTGGTAACCCAATTTTGCAGCATCATTGTGTTCAAATGCTCTGATCCAGACAGCCACAAGCTATCGCTCCAAAAGCTGTGCTGCTGGAAATTCAGCTGGGCTGATTTTATCCAAAGGCAAACCTCCCCTTTCTAAAAGACAGTGCAGGAGGCCCCTTAGCTCAGGAGAGCCAGCTAAGCCGGCTTTGCCTGGCTGCTCAAGTGCTGAAGGGTATCTGAAATATTATACAGCTTACAGGGAAGCTGAGGGAGGATGCTGGAAAGGATAAGGAGAAAAATGGAGAGAACCAGTCCTGAAAACAGGCCAGACAAGACCCTGCAATGGGTTCAGGTGCAATTCAGTGGGAGACTTTGGAGAAGAAATCTGAAGGCATTTCCACCCAGCCCTGGGAAGTTTTTCCAGAAGGCAGCATGCAATATTGGATCTGCACCCTGGAGCCTTTGCATCAGAAGTGGGTCCCTTCGGAGTGCTCCCCACAAACCTTCAGTGTAAGGATCTGGTTAGAGCGCAGGGCTGCGAGTGTGGTGCTTAGGTACTCCTGGGGAACAGTGAACACACACGAGACAAACGGGGTCAGTGAGACAAAGAGCATTTCTGACAGCAAACGCAGCATGGCTGCTCCCCCCTCTTTCCCTAAATGGCACTTTGCAGCACCTGGAGTGGCCCTCTCACCCCAAACGGGCAGCCCCAATGCACGGGCTCATCCCTCACAGCAGCGCTGGCCACGCAGACTCACACGGACAAAAAATTAGGAAACTGCAGCAAGAGCCAAGGCACATATCCTAACCTTGCATTTCCTTCCTAAGAAAACAAATATATGAAACAAAACTGAAACAACACCCCCGGTTTGTCAGGATGCTGGTTTTCATTTCCTCACCCAGAACATCTGACAAAGAACCTTATCAAACAGAAAAACAAGAATAAATTGCAATTCGGTCAGCAGTGTCGCATTTTTGCAATAAGGCCCATCCTAATTCTCATTCAGGGAGGAAGAGAGAGAGCTGCACCTCTGCTGGCTGGTCTGTGCCTCTGGCTCCCTGAACTTGCAGTTCAGGACAGCCTGTCCTTGAGTTGATCTGAGGACAGTCACCCTTCCGTGAGCATGTCTCAGCCCTGAACAACTCATGGGCTTTTTATAATGTCGAGCTTGGTGCCTCATGAGACCAAAAGCATCTCCATGAGAGGCAAGGAAACACTTGAAGGATGTGAGGCTTTGTACCCACCCTTTTCCCACTGTCACAGCCCTGCAGCTCATCAGTCACCCTACAACCCTGGCCCACCACACCAGCGTGCCTCTGCCGCCCAGGCTATTTCCAGGGATGCACCAGCTCCCTTCCCGGTGCTGCTTTGTGTCCTGCCACTGCTTTTCACCTTGAGCTCTGGGGACAGCCAGAGCCAAGGGCTGTAACAGGAACTCAGGACACTGCTCCGGTGACCAGTGTTGTTGGCTTCTTTTTAACATAACAATCTAGTGACTTTATCGCTAAATAAACACAGCTGACGGGCTGTTATTGCACGGGGCACTGGCACCTACCCACGGCCCCCTTCCCCCTTGCTGCCAGCCCAGCTCTCTCTCTCCAGTGGCTCTGCTGCTCCAACCCTGCTCCCTCCGGGCCAGGGACCAGAGCCCAGCTGATTATCCCGAGGCCCATCAAAAATAAACAGAAAGCTCTTAAGCTTGTCTCCCTGTACACCCAGATTACAAATTCCAGCCACTTCATATGATGTCGTTCCAATGCATTTCCAGTGGATTTTCAGCACTCTGGTTGTTTTTAGCACCGGTTAAATCCCCTCAAACCCCATGATGTTCTCTCTCCGCTCTTGGCTGCGGCACATGCTGGCCAGGCCAAGATGAAGGGGCAGGTGGAGCAACATCCTGGCTTTCATCAAACAGCTGCTGGCATCAACCCTCCTGCTCAGCCTCTTCCTTGCAGGCTGAAAAGTCCACCAGGCTTGGGGACCAACTCACTGGGGACCTGACAGAGCACCAGGGGGTGCAGGGTCACCCTCAGGCAGGGAGCACAGCCCTTCCCCTTGCGTCTGTGCAGGGATGACACCAGCACGAGGGAGAAGGAAAAGGGGGGAATGTTGAGAGGGTTTTCCCCAGGTCTTCACTCCCCACGCTGCTCCTGGCCACAGAACCAGAGCAGGGGCAGTGCAGCAGCTCAAGGCTGGGTGGCTGGGTGACCTCTACTCCTCCAGAACCCCCGGGTTTCACCGGGTTTTGGGGTGAGGACCTTGCCCTCTCCAGCACAGAGCACAGGAGGGTCTCCAGGCAGCAGAACTGACAGCGGCTATCTAGGGGTGAGCCCCGGTGGGCAGGAAGAGAGCGGAGAGCCAGCATCCCTCCTGGAAAACCTTATCTGCTGCTTTTCTGCGAAACACATCCACCAGCCAAGCACTGCCCTGGGGGCCCAGATGACGCATCCTGCTAATGAAACCATCTCTGCTTCCAACAAAAAGCCATTCAAACGCAGGAGGATTAACATGCAGGAAGGCACGGGACAGAGGATAATAACGCTAATGACTTACCCTGTGCGGGTACTCTGCGCACTGACCCTGCGAAAGGAGGGGATTAAAAAGGAAAGAGTTTAAACCACAAGCAGAGGCGACTGAAATAGGCACGCAGGGTCACATCCAGGAGGTGTAAATCGTTGTGGCTGTATCAAACTCGGTGCAGTTTTGTCAATTTGTACTCGATAAACACCCTGCCTCCCGTCCCCCATCCCCTGAGCCCTCTGCTCTTGGGACGCCCCGCTCACACTCATAGTTAGCAGCACCAAGTCCACCACGTCCCTTCCTCTCTTTTAATTTTTAACAAGGCCCCCATTCAAATTACCTTCTCTCCTTTTTGTCCTGGGGGCCCCTACAAAAGAAAAGTGATCAGAAAAGGTCTCGGTAAATGAAGGAGTTCAGTGAATGTAAAGGGACGGGGATTAGGGGGAAGAGATGGGATAGGGATGAGATACTTACAGGTTGTCCCCTGGGACCTGCAGCGCCCTTTAAAGAAACACAGAATTTAACGTGGGGTGGCTTTCCATTTACAGTGACAAAAACACAGCATATGGAGTAGGTGAAAAACTGAGCTTTTAAAAATAATTGTGAAGAAAATTCCCAAGAGAGATCCGGGCTCTCTTTGGAGGAGTGAAACGCACACATGCTCTGCCTGCACCACGGGGTGGAGGGGGAGAAATATTAAAAGGAGCTGGGGAAAAATCATCAGGAAAACACACCCTTATTGTTCCCAGGACCTCAGCTGACAGCGTGTCTCCTCGGCCGACGCTCTGGGATGGAACCAGAGGCAGCCAGGACTGAAGGCTGAGCTAGGATTGTGCAACAGGGGAGTGGGGAGGGGGGATCTTCAACATGTGCTTGCCAGAGGGCTTTGCTGACACTCGGGCTCAAAAAAAACCAGAATTAGCACAAGAAAACATTCAACACTTCAGCAGAGCGAAGGTGACTACAGAGCATCTCTCTTGACATGCTCATGTTTGGGATTTCATCATCAGAGATGTCAAGAGGAACAAGACAGCATTTGGGCTTCCATACAGTGCAGCCTAAGTTTATCATTTTCAACCAAAAAGCATTTTAGTATGATGCACATGTGAAACAGAGCTTCAAGGGGCGGGGCAGGGAACCGCATTTAATACAAAAAAGATGCTTTTTTTGGTTGTTGTCAGATAAGTTGAAAGCTGCCAGATGGGTTTTCAGAAATCTTTCCATCAACTTTTACTTGTCCTGTGAGGCCAACCACGAAAAAATGTCAGCTCCCAGAATATATTTAAAGAACATAATTGCTAAGTGCAAGGAAAACACGTCTCATGAGTAACTAGAGAGTTGCTGTTGTGACATGCTGAATGTGATAGCCATAATGCAAAAATTACAGACATGCATCCCAGCACTGCTATTATGAAGTTACAGGATTAGGGATGCAGCTAGTGCATCAGCTGAGGTGACATTGCTGGCCTGCCCATGGGCTTATTTCCAGCTGAGGCACAGCATCATTGCAAACCAACCCACCACCCGCAGACAAACATGTATTTTTACCATCTCTCCCTTCTGTCCAGGATGGCCCTGCACAAGAAAGGAAACATAAATCAGCTTTGGCCACTGCAGACTCTAGATGATGTTGATTTAACAGCTTCTGCTGAATGAAGTGTGTGTCCCCAGAGCAGCACAAGAAAGGTGCTGCTGCATCTCTCTTGGGGGTGAAGTTCCTCATGGCAAAAACAGGGTCCTGCTGCAGGAAATTAGAAGCCAGAGGAATGTGCTACCATCTCCTTCTCCATTCCAGCACTGCTGGGGAACCTGGCTACGTGGCTGCTACATGGAGCTATGGGTTTCATGCACACTGGGTTCATGGAGAAGTGGCTCGTTTGTGCCCAATTCTCCAAGGGACGGGAGGAACTTGGGTTTCCAATGCAGATCTCTAAGGACAGCATGGAGGTCTCTCAGAGCTCCTTAGGATCCTCCCCTCCTCTGCTGCAGCTCTTTTCAGCACAGCAGCAAAGAGGAGGAAGCTGCTGGCTAAGGCAGAGGGCTGATACCTCGGGGATCTGCTCTGTCTGTCTGATTCTGGGTGGGAGTGCTTGCTAAGTCTTGTGAACTTGTGAACTATTTTATAGATTTACCTAGAAAGGAACAGGCCATACACTGCCTTCCTTAATCTCCTGACTCCTGCATCTCCCCCAAGGCATCTGTGGCATCTTCCTGGCCTGCCAGCCTCCTAATTTTCTTTTAATCCATGCATGTGCATGACATTGCAGCATAATCCCCTCAAAGCACACGGTGTGGCAGCACAGTGGCACCTAGCAGGAGGCAGGAGAGGTTCTCTGCTTACCGGTTTGCCATCCAAGCCAATAGGGCCCTGAAACAAAAGAGGAAAAATGATGAGAAATGCTTTCCCCGGGGTGTCTGTCCATCTGTGCCCCAGGAAGCACTATGTGCCACGAGACTGCATGGGTTGGGGTGACCTGAGGTGACTGCCTGCCCTCCTGCCCAGTCCTGACAGGTCCCTGACTCACTGAGTACCAGCCCAGATTTCAGACTGCTTCAGCTCACTGTCAGCACTTTTCAGCAGCAATGCTGGACCCAGGAATAGAAGCAAGGAGGGATTCATAGGCAGTTTTCAAAAAAAAAAAACCCTCAGAATTTAAAATTTTACAGTAAACTCGTGGAGTATCAGCAGTTTTCTCAAGACTTTGATTTAAAAGGGCGCCCACCTTTGGGGAAAGAGGAATTTTTGCAAATGACGGAACAATAAAAGTGTCCCAGGGAAGAGGTGACATACAGCTCAGCACATGCTGAAGATTCTGTGTGATGAGAAACAGGCTCTGCAGAGCTGTCCCACCCAGCACTTTCTCATGAGCTGGGTCCATTTGTTTTCTGCTCCTCCAAAAGCCAAAGACCACGAGTGCCTGCAGAGATCTGCTTCTCCTCAGCCCAGGGGCAGCTCCAGCTCACAGCCCCCCTTTCCACAGTGGGCAGAGCCACACACAGCTCGGGGGCTGCCAATTCCTCCCATTTTCCAGGCCTGAGAGCCTCCCCACAGACCTGCTCTGGTCCTGGAGCAGCAGCTGAGCTGCCTGGCAGGAGCAGGGGTGTGGGGGGTGCTGGTGCTTGCCTCAGGCTTCCTAGCTGTCCAGGATAAATGCATATGGATAAATAGCAACTGGTGGAGCTCTTCAGCAGCCTCAGTGCTTCAGAGAGTGCTGCCAGCAACTGTTGGACTGAAATGAATTTTTTTTTGTCCTCTCCTGGGCAAATCTCTGTTCCCTTGCAACTGTGCTGGTGAAGAATTGCCCTTCATGTCTTATGTCCTTTCCCTCTGGCATGACCAGGGTGTTCAGCCACCACAGTCCCCAGCTGACCTTCAACAAGCAGTTGGATCCCAGGCACTTGCTGCTGTTGGAATATCAACTAAAAGCTCAATTAAAGTTGGAATTTCCACTACCTAGGGGTTGTTTTCTTTGTTTGGGATAGGGGTATTTCTTCTTTTACCAAACAGATCTGGCTTTAACTATGTTATTTTAACACTTGGGCCCTTTTTTTTGTTTGTTTTTTAATTAATTTCCTTTCAGAGTTGTGTGGTTTGGTTTTTTTGGTTTTTTTTTTTCCTCCCTAAGTATCATTTAAAAGAAAAAAAAAAAAAAGGAGCAGAAAAACAAATGAAGAAAAAATTTCTTTTTCCAGTGATATCAGATCAGGTCATTGATTTCAGGAAGAAATGATGAGACACAGCAAGCACTTATGAGGCTTCCTAGTAATATCACACATCCGTACCTCATAAATTAAGAGTTACACTTACCGGGAATCCAGGAAAACCTCTTGTTCCAGGCTGGCCCTGGGAAGGATGAAACAGAGACAGCAGTTTAGAGGAACTGAAATGAATTTTGATGGATCTTAAGTCCTCTCTACAGAGCCTTTCCTCCAGCCTCTGACCAATTATCCTACAGCTCCCTGAAGAGATACCCAATTCCCCTCCAAGGGGAAAGTGTCTTGGGAAGGAGGGGAAATCTCTCATCCCCACTCCAATTTGTACAGGGCCAAGAAAATGCTGGAGCAGCTCCAGTTTGGATTGCAAGCAGTTTCCTTGAAGTCTCTACATTAATTAAATGGGTGTCCCTAGCCCATATGTTAGGCTTTTGGAGTATATTCCAGAGGCTGAGCTCATTTTATGGCAATTCTTGCTGCCATAAACCTGAGATGTTTAATGCAGGGTGCTGTTCTGTGCAAGACAAGCCTTGCAGGTCACTGGTGTCTAAATAGAACCATCCCTCTCCTCCTCCTCCCCCTCTCATCTCATGTCCCAGCTCATTCATTTTCCTCACAAATAATTCTGGAGATGGATTTTTTTTTTCTCTTCTGGTTTTTGTTGCCATTTTTTTTTTGCTGGGTTTTTTTTTTGGTTGTTTTGTTTTGTTTTAATCCTTTGAGAGCTAAGACAAAAAGGAGTTAGAGTGTGTGATGAGAGGAACATGAGCACCAACACTTTTCCCCCTGCCCCTTCCTAGCTAGCTAGTTGTGGCTACCAGTTTGGGATCAGGTACAGCAAACACTGGCTTGGGATGGGTTTGGCAGCTTCTTCATCCCCCACTTAAGAACACCAAAAAAAAAAAGAGAACACGTCCTGGCTGTTAAGTTTTCAGAGTTCCTCAATTTTTGGGGCCTGTGACATCCCAGGTCACAGGTATTGTAGCTTTGTTGGTATCCAGGAAAGACTCTGTTTCACTTTAGGATTTTGCAGCGTGTTTCCCAAAAAAAGCAGAGACTCAGGATGGCCCCAGACAAAACCTCTTTGCAGGGTTTAGGGATGCCCCCAGCACAGAATCCCTCACATCACACTGAAGAGTTCTGGTTTTGTACACAATGCTAGCAGGACCTAATCACATTTTGTGCTGTTGCTTCAGTTCTGCAAAGTTGAACTTGGTCAGCTCTGCTTTGCAAGATACACACAAAACCACCTGGCCCTGCTGGCCAGTGACCAGAAGGGAAGATAGGCTATAAATTAAAGGATCTGTCCGCCGCTGGCTTCTGAAAAGGCAAGAAGCAAGAAGAGCCCAGCCAGAATTCATTAATTTTGGTTCCCTGCTGGACACCTCCCTGACAAAAAGTGCTAAAAAAAGAATGGGGGAGAAAAGCCTGGAAGTGGTGCAGTTTGGCTTCCTCTGTAGACTACAGACTGTTGCCTCTCTCTCCTTGGAGGACAGCAGAATGATTTGCACGGTATCACGCCAAGACAACAGTTCAGCAGCGAGCCATTCCAGGAGACTGTTTTTGTTGGGTGGCTGGTTTTCCTTGTCTCCTTTCTAAAATGTTGATTGCATGAAGTATGTAATCCTGGGAGCTGCCAAATCATGGAGACCGTCTGTTTCTGCCACTATCGGCGCACTGTCCCTCTCTGGCCAGGAGTGAAGCAGCTCTGAGCTCGAGCAAAAACTTCCACCTCCAAACAAAAATCTGGAAACTATTTGTCATCCCACATCTTCCAGAGTGGCCCCTTGGCCAGGGTTTCCGTGTTTGTCTCCAGTGCTCAGCCATCCTTTTGACCTATCACCAGCTCCCCAGGAAACTGGATCATCTTCACAGTAAGCTTTGCAGGGAGAAAGTGTGGAGTTGGCACCTCAGGGCTTTGACTGGTGTAGGCAAAACCCCATTTTAGATACCACTTGCCATCGGATTTTTCTGCTGCTTCAAAGGCACTGTGTGTTCTGCACTTTCCCAAACAGCACCAAAGCAGACAAAATTGTCCCGCAGCCCAGGCACGTGTCCTTCAAGAAAACTGTCTCCTTTGCAGGACCTACATGGACAGGAGCTGATGGCTCTTCTCTCTGATTACTATAATCACACTGTCCACAAGGCCGAGAGCCAGAGCTTGTGGGAAACAGCAAAAGCAACAGGGCCACTTACCCTCCAAAATCTGCTGTTTGTGGAGCAGGGTGGTCCTGCTCAGACTTTGGCTTGAGAGACTTGCCAGCCCTTCCTCCTTGCCTGGACACGTGGCCAGGGACCATCTGCCAGGCATAAAACACTTGGGGAGACCCATTTGGGTCCTGGGCTTTGGTTCTGTCGCTTCCCAAACTCCAGCATCCCCGGCAGGTGGGCCTGGGGACCGGCAAAGCTGTTTTTTATTAGAAACACTTGTCACGGGGCTTTTGGGAAGTTAATTGGAAAGCCAGATGTAGCCAAGTGTTCGAACTGCCTGGGTCTCTCTCACTTGACCTCTGCTGGGAGACAAAGGTTGCCAGCAGCCCATCCTCTCTGCAGGTCAAGGACAGTGCTCTTCACAGGTTAATCGGAATCGGAAATGCCCACTGGGAGGGAGAGAATTGAATCTCCAGGTCTTTTTTCATGGAAATCTCTGCTGGAGGCTGTGCAGGGATGGAGTGGAGAGGTCTGGCACAAAAGCAGAGGCTTGGTGGCTGAACCACAGTGCCCTAAGCACCCAGCATTTAGGGCACATAAGCCCTTCATCCTGGCCTTTTTTTATGACCCCAAAAGTTTTGTCGTTGCACCTTGTAGGGATGCTTTTACTGGAAGAGAGTGCAAAATCCTGCCTTTTCTCAGCCAGATAAGTGGTAACCATGCTGACAAAGAGCTTCCAAGATTTTGGGTACAGGACAAAGACCCCTGAGCTACCCTTGGTCTTTGTGAGCTCCTCTTAGCTCTGATCCTCCTCTTCAGTAAAAAATCAGGGGGCTCGTTCCCTGCTGATTGAACCAAAGGCTGAAATCAGCCAGTCAAAGGGCAAATTTTGTCCAAAAGTGATAGCAGCCCTGTCGCAAAAGGGAAATATAAATGCAGGAATTTGGTTTCCTTGCCAAGGGAAGGCTTCCTCGTTTGCTCTGGAATATGAGCTATAATTTCATTATATATAGTATATAATAGCAGTATAAAACCAAGGCTGGCTCAGCATGGGAACCACATTATACAGGGTTTTTGCATTTTCCAGCTGATGCTGAGTCTTAAAGCCCCTCCTAAGTCTTTCCCAGTAACTTGCCCACATCCTGCATCAGACAAAAATAGAGAGAAAAGCCACTTACGGGTGGACCACGGGGCCCGATGATAGACATGCCAGCTTCTCCTGGAGCACCCTGCAGAGAGACAAAGCCCAGGAAAAGGGGTGAGAATAGCAGGGGAAAACACAAAGACAGCTATATTCCTGTCAGGACTGGGGTGAAGTGAGGGTGCCTTAGGTGTGAGATCTTCAGGGCTTATGGGGCAGCTGCTGTTCTGGCCTCTCCCAGCTCCTGCCTGACACTCTGGGAGAAAATATGTCCTTGAGAGCTGCTCAGATGTGCCAGGAAATAGAAGCTGCACAGCAAGGAGAAGTATAAACACATAAAACACTCTCTGGCAAAACAGAGGTTCTGCCCCATTGCAAGTGTGAAAGATGGCCTAAAACTTTTTCTGTTTCCTTCCTGCCAGTTCCAGGAGGATTGTGTCCTGCAGAAGAAAGGAAAAGAGGGATGTGCTGGGCTCCAGGGAAACGGGCAGCTTATTTGGTTGCCTCCAGAAATGCCTCGCTTGGGTACTTCTCCAACTCAGCTGAGATGTGGATGCAAACAAAGCAAAGTGCTTGCTGGAAAAGGAAACAGCTGCCTGTCCAACCCCGAGCCACCCACAGCGTGTGGTGGGCAGGACATGTCACTCTCTTTGGAAACGTGCTGTATTCCTGAGAGGCAGCTCCAGAAGTGCCCAGGGCTGAGGAGCTTTGGGATGGAGCATCCCATAAACCGAGCAGCCTGTAAGAAAGCAAAGCACTTTGCAAAACAAAGCTGTGGACTGCCAAAGACTTGGGGCTCTCATGGAGGGCTTCGGGGAAGCAGGGGAAATTAGGAGTGCTTTTTTTTCCCATTGTTTGTTTGTATCTATCTGCTGTCCCTTCATGAAAACTTTGGCCAGAAACAAATGCAAGGATATGCAGAGAAAAAAGCAGAATGGCTTCGGGTGGGAAATTCTGGTCTGCTGGATAATGTTGCTTGGCTCCACTGAGCAAAGAGTGAACACAGGGAGGGAGAATCTCTACCCTACTTTATCCTTCCTTGTCGTGTTTTTCTCTCTATCTATTATGAAGAGGAGTAAATATGGTACTGAATAGATGACCCTCCTTGTCAGGTAAATATCCATACATTTTTTAATTTCTACACCCCTTTATTCAGTTATTCAAACACCTCAGTTTCCCTGCTCTCACACTGGGGAGGTACTCACAGCTCTGGGGAAAACATACCAACACTAAAATGCCAAACACTTCAAAACAGGGGCCAGTAGTAGGATTTGTAAACCAGCACTTCTTTGTGGGTACAAATCACAACTCACTGCGTGGCAAACAGTCTGTGAGATGGTGTCCCACGGACTTAAACCACACCGTCAGCCTTCCTCAGGAGGAAGAGGTCCCACTGTGTCAGAAATGCCACTTTCATTCCTTGCTCCCACCTGCACCAGGCATCAGGCTGACCTGGGAGGTAGAGGGGAGCTGCAGTTTGGCTGGGGCAAGCAGAGCTGCCAGAGGGGGAGAAAGCCAAGGGTTAAAATCCAGGAAGCCTTGAGGGAAGCCCTGCATGTGCCCACTGGCTCTTACGCTGTTAGTAAATTGTCATAAACAAGAAACGCAGCATCTTTGGAGGCTGAGTGGCCTGGAAGGAATTTGGGAAATCTACTTGCACTGACACGGAAGATGGGGCAGCCCAGGAGTGTGGAAGCCCAAAGCTGCCTGCAGTGGCCACAGCTGTGACGGGGAAGCTTGGGCTGGCCCTAGAAGGGGACAGTTTGGGGGTGCCACAGGCTACAAGGGGCTGACTCACCTTCTCTCCAGATTGCCCTTTTAGTCCCTGGGTCAGTGGCAGCCGTCAGAGCCACATGCAAGAGGGTGCAGGGAGGAGAGAGAGAAAGGGAGAGAGAGACAAACACAGGCGTCAGCGGCAAAGGCACGCTCTGCCACCCCACGACCCTGCCTATGGGGCTGGCACGAGCAAGGTGGCCTCAGCCTCTTCCCCATCCTCACCACGGGATGCCCCAGCAAGGAGCAGCTCCAAAATGCAGCGCTCAGCCAGGCAGGGGATGGCTCCCTTTGCTCAGGGCAGAGTTATTTGCAAGGAGCAGCTGCCAGTGGCGAGCAGGGGTGCGTGTTAGGAAACCCAGGGTTAGCAAGCCCAGCTGGGGCACGGAGTGGCAGCGGGAGACACCCAAACAGGGGGATGCTGAACCAGAGGAGGGCCTGGAGAGTGCAGCAGGTGGAATGGAAACACCTCCCCAGCATGTGTGTGGCTGGCAGGGCTGGTCACCCTGCTGAGACCAGGGGTGATGTGGGGCTCAGGGAGAGTAGTTTTTCTCGAACTGACAAGGGTTATCCTGAAAGCCACCCTCCCCCAGCCCCAAATCCGGGGGTTTGGAAGAGAATGGGAAAGATGAGGCACACAGAAGAGGTGGTTTGACTTACCGGCCGCCCAGGGATTCCCATGGCACCTTTGTCTCCCTGGCAATTAAGGCAAAAATCAGAGGCAATTGGTAACAGGCCAAAAGCAAGGTTATAAAACAGCACAAATGAACTAAGCCACAGCAGCAGCTTCACACTGTGGTGCAAGTGTCCAGGGATTTTGAGAGGGAGAAAGTTAAAGAGCAGAGTGTGTTTGAGTGTGCCCGAACCTGTCTTTAGAATGTGTGAGCCACCAGTCCATTTCCACACATGACCAACCCACACATCTCACAACAGAAATTGCATACAGCAATTCAGGCAGCAAAAGGAAGACAGGAGTCTCCAGTCAAACAAAGTACAATCCCTATTTCCAGCACTTCATAAAATCCAGGTCCTGGGAATTGGCTTCCTGCAGTGGCCAACTGTCACGTTTTTCTCTTTCTTGACCAAAGTCATCTGGGTGTTAGCTTTTTATTTATAGAGTTATCACTTTAAAACACAATTCTCTTAGACTTGAAAATACTGTCTTGTCCAGAAGCAAGAGAAAAATGTGAGAACACAAGCTGACACAGGAAAAAGCATGTCTGGAAGAAGACATATGAGCAGCTGTTTTCAGTGTCCTCTACCTCTTTGAGATACTTCCCAGTGCATTGTCAGCAAGTGAGTGATCCTAACAGTGGTTTTGGGAATGACTTTGGGTCAGGTGACATTGGACAGAGCCTCGTAAACACATGAACATAAGACCAGTGACAATTTTCTTCAGCCACTTACCTACAAGGCAGCTGGCTGCCTCTTACAGCTAAATTGTACTATGCAATTAAAAAAAAAAAATAAATTATCCCCTCTGCATTCCTGGTCGCCAAAAGTGAAGGCTGTTCAGATCTGGAAGACAGCAGCTCATTGCTAAAGGATCTTGATGATTGTGGCTTCAGCAGTCATGTAGCTTTTGCTCTATATTTTGCAAAAATGACGTGATAATAATCCCTCAGTTCTGTTTCCAGCGATGTTTGGGGTTTCCTTATGTAAAACAGAATGTTCCTGCCCCTGGCTGACTGTGTCTGTAGACACAAACCTGGTTTTCTGGTTTCTGCAGCTGCAGACACCAGCCCCACTGGTGCCACCTCTTCATGCCTCCCCACACGTTGAGTCCCAGCGCGTGTGAACATAATCGGAAATCTCTGGAAGGGGAAGGCACTTAGCTCTGTTTGTTCTGCGTGTACACAGAGGCTGTGTATCCCAAACTCAAACATTATTGCTTGGGATCAAACCATCCCCTGGTGGAAGTTCAGCCACTTCCCTCTGCAGAGCTGCTGGGGGGCTGTTTGGTGTGGGGGGCATTCCTTTCCACGCAGCACATGTTGTGATAAACTGAAGAGCCATGTACACTTTGCAAAAGCACCCCTTTCAGATGGATGAAACCCTGAACAGCTGCTTGATCTTAAGTTTTGTTGAGGATAGATTATGGGAAACTGCTTTCTTCCAGGGTTTTAGGTGGGTTCTCAGCCTTGCCTATCTCTGTGTGCCAGCAGTGAGAGGAACTCCCGGTGTCACCATCTGGCCCTGGCATTACTTTGTGGCTGCTGGAAAACATCATGCTGAGCTTTCCTCTGCTTTTAGTCCCTAAAATGCTGCTTTCCCTCCAAAGCTGAGCCCAGGCTGATTTCACTCATGGCTTTTGAGGTAAAAGCTGAATTTGCTTCTTCTGTCTCTGCTGTGGAGCCCAAGGCCAGGGCTGAGCTGTGTCAGGTCTCTGCTGTGAGTACCTGCAGTGGTACATGACAGCACCGTGTCTGGTATGTGACTGTGCAGAGTTACACCCCTCCAAGCAATAGCAGCAAAGGGGGAGCTCCTGGCAGGACAGCAAATAAATGCCAGATGTTTATAAGGAAGGGTTGTCTGTGACAGGGAGCCAGCAAAGAGCACTGGTGGGTGGATGATACCATGTAGGTTGGTTGCAAAGCCATGAAAAGCTGCCTGAAGCTCCCACATCAGAGTTAAAAGTGCATGAAAGGCAACCAGCAGCCTCTGTCCTGAGTCAGGGAAGAGCCAGCAGCACAGTTTACATTTCCTTCACTGGGAAATTGCCTGTTGTGGCTCGTGCAGTCTCCAGGTGAGCCACAGCCTTGGGGAGCAGGGAACCATCACCAGGAAACCACGCTGCTGTAATTCCAAAACCCACGCTCCTTCCTCAGCCATGACTAACTCAGATGTTGTTATGGATATTTACATTCGTCCCAAGGTGACTTAGGCCTTCTAAATCCTGCTGCAACTAGCAAATCTCATCACCTAGAACACTGAACATCTTTCTTCTTCAACCAGACCCTCAAAGACATCTTCAAAAGTAAAGGAGAATCCATGAGGATTATGCTACCCTTTAAGTTTGAACCCACAAAGCTCCTGTAGTGCCTGCTCTGTTTGGGCCATGTCCTGTTTGCAATATTCTATTCCATGTCACATTTTTTATACAAGTCTACTTTCTACCACCTGATGAAGGCTGGGGGCCTCCTGATCAAAGTACTGCCAGACAGAAAGAATGAGGGGATGAAACAGAAATAATGAAGTATTTACCAGGAGCTGGGGCCTTCCTGTGAGGCCCTGGAACAAAATACACCAAAACAGCAAAAAATCTCAAACTCTGAAGGGAGGGCTTGATGAAGACATGGGATCACATGGAATGGTTTAGGAAACAGAATGGTTAAACAAACTCCAGCTCCTTGACCATCAGCTCTGATTGCTTTGGTTTCCTAATCTCCTGCTTGTGAAGTTTTCTCTCCTTTTGGCACGACTCTACCCACAGCTCTCCACACGAGCTCTGAAGGTATCTGCAAGTCCACGGAGAACAAGCTAATTACAGGGCTTTGACTTTCTTCCTTAGCTTCCATCTGCTAAATATTATTTTTTCATGTATGGAATTGCTGCAGTTGCCACAGAAATGTTGCATGATCAGAAATGGGAGAGAAAATGTCCGTGAGAGGATCGTTTGCTTCGGATGTGGTCCAGACAGCAAAAGGACTATTGCACGATTTCATCACTTCCTTCCTTCGCCCCTTTTAGTCCCCATCTCATCAAATATCTTACATGACTGCGGGTTGCCCTTGCCTTCACCAAAGCCTTGACTGACTTCAGGAATAAGGGTGGAAGTTTTGGTTGGGCAAGAAAAGAACATGAAGTTCCCTTTTGCAGCTGTGGTGTTGCTCATCCATTTCCCTGGCTTTTGTCCTTGTTGTCCTACACTGGAAGCAGGGCTCAGTGCATTTCTAATGAGTCTTTCTGCCCATCTCCACACTCAAGCCAACACCAGCACTGGGAGCTAAGCCCTGTCACACATTGTGCTGTCTCTTTTGCAAGCTGGGAAACAAAAACGGGAGAGAGATATGGGGTGGTCATTGCTTTGGGGTCACTATCCAGAACAATGACAGCCAGCCAGGCAGGAGCTCAGGTTGTTGCTCATTAAACCATTTCCAATCAGAAGAAATATGGAGGGGTGGGGGAATATTTCCTACAGTGCCATGCAGGATTCACTTTTGCTCACAGTGGCTGAGCCCATCTCGCTCGCCGGCTGACCAGAACCCCAAGAGGTCCTGAATGAGATGAGGGTCCTACTAGTCCAAGACAAATTCCACTTTGGCTAAGAACACTCAGTCTGCCCAACTTCCTCTTGTTATTTCCATTGGCTGTAGCACTCCTCACAGCCTGCCCCAGAAGTCTGCTTGCAGAGGAGGCAGGTTCAGGGGGTCGCAATAAGCCAGGATACGGTAGCATACAATGTCAGCACTTCTCTGGTGGTCCCATGTGCTTCTGCCAGGCTTCAATCTCTCATTACAATATTAGGTTTCCAACCCTTATGGCTGCAGAGGAAGCCTGGAGCATGCACCTTCCTCACCCCACAAAGGCACTGGCTGCTCTCTAGAAGACCCCTGTGTTTATCTAGTGATTTCTCTCTAATTTCTCACAGCAACAGTAGAAATGCCAGTACCACTACCAATTTTGTGCCCATCCCATCCCTTCGGTGCTAACATGTGGGCTGCCCATTCTGAAGTGGTAGAGGAGCCAGCTGCAGCTGCCTGCAGAGAGGTGCTGTCCTCCCAAAAAGCCACAGCTAATGCTGAAATACATCCAGTGAAAGCCCCCTGGGATAAGCTATCGCTGAAGTTTGTGTGGATCAGGGTTTCCAGCTGTGAAATGCTTTCAGACCTTTTGGCCTAGGAGGTGCAACTTTTTGGAAGATTGCTGTCATTAAATAGGTCTGTGCTCATATATCTGTGGGAGTTCAGTCTATAGCATTTCAGCCTGATGAAAGGGGAAAGAAAATAGGTTGTGCAGCAACTACTACTCAGAACGTCATCTGCAAACTGTTTAAGACTTTTCTGCGTGAACAGACAAAAGATGACTACCGTATGTTTAACTTCTCACGTTCCTCCACAGAAACCCTGAATAGTCCCTCTATTGTAACACAGATATAAACCATTTCCTCTGAAAGGAGCATGCTAGAGACAATGCAGCGTTTCTTTATAATCCTGAGAGCTTCAGGATTCAGTCCTTGCATTGCTGCTCCTGGTTCACTGTGGGTCTCCTAATAGCTGCAAGAAAATTTCTGCAATAACCTAGCTATTTTTCTGAAGCCCAAATTGTCTGCGCTGAGGTTTTACATTAGCTAACATTTGAAAAGGAAGCTGTCAACACAATTTTTCCTCTGAAATTGATAGTTGCACAGCTATACTTGAAGGCCCAGCAGCTCAGCCAGCCTGAGTGAGTAGCAGGGAGCAAGTCCCTCCAGCTCAGCCCCTGCCATGTGTTTGTCATCTATCTTTCCCTTTTCTGCAAAGCCATCTCATTCAGCACGTGGCATCCCATGCATGTGAAGCGCATAGAGCTGGGTCCCCCAGAGCTGGTGACACACAGATCTCTGCTCCAGGTGACTCTGCCATGGCCCCATCCCTGTGCTCCCTCCAGCTCCCCCTCCAAGGGTGACACACAGATCTCCATGTGACTCTGCCATGGCCCCATCCCTGTGCTCCCTCCAGCCCCTCATCAGAGGCTGAGCTGCACCAAGAGCAATCCCACCCCAACCCAGCCCTGAGCAGTACTTGCTGTTTGGGGTAGCCCAGGCTGCCAGGACTCCAAAGGTGGCTACCACACCACACCACATCACACCACAGACAGGAGCCTGGGGGTTCATGCCCCACAGACTCTGTGCCAGCAGCTTCTACAGCCATAGAGGTTTGGTACTTACAGGCGGACCTGAAAGAGAGAAGAAAAATAAACAACAATTATTTTTTTTTAAATGCAGTAAATCCTAACAAGAAGAGCCAGAAAAAAACATTGCACCATCTTTTGGGCTTAATCCTCAGTCTGCTCCCATTTGCTGATGCACTTTCACCAGCTTCTTGCTTGTTAATTAAGGTACTCCCACAATTAGCAGCTGCTAATAACCACTGTGAGTGCAGGGCAGCCTCTGATAGCCCTGTTAGAGCCTTGTGATGGGAAGGCCATGCAAGTCAGGCTCATGACACTGCCAAACTCAGTTTTGGTCCTCTGGCACACATGAGAGCGGGGAATTTGTTATTTGTATGACTCCTCCTCACATCCTGCCCACCCCTGGGAGCTGAGAAAGTTGAATTTGAGGAGGCAAGAGCCCCTCTGCTGCTAAAATTCCTACCCATTTCCCACCAGCATTGGTGATCTTGCAAAGCTGTGAAAAGGTTAACGAGGAAATTACAGCTATCAAAGACATCAGGTACATTTTCTCATTAATACAAGCAATTTTTCCCCTTTTCTTTTGCTTCTGATCCCATAGAAGCCAACCTGCCCTCTCAGAAGAAATTCTCTCAAATCCTTTGGGCTTCTTTTATTTTGGAAATCTTTTTTTGGAACCTGCCAGTGCACAGCACTGCATCTCCCTCATACAGAATGGTTGTACAATATATATATCAGGGCTCAAACAGCACATTTCTTTCATCAGTTCCCAGAAAATTCCTCAAAATCCTGACAGATATTGTGTGTGTGGAAAGAAACCCCCGGACTCACTATTTTGTGGTTTCCTCTCTGTGGGAGAAGCAAGACACACCATACAACTGTCAGGGGTTTCTACATTTTCCATACTTTATGGACATTCTGTTTTCCTTTTTTTTCTTTTTTTTTTCCTTCACACAGAGTGCCAAGAAGGAAGGCTAAGCAGTAAAACAGGCGAGCTGACAGATAACAGGCAGCAAACTCCTCTTTGCACGGTGAGCACCTGCAGAATACGTCCACATCCTGAGAATGCCCCTGGCTGAACGTCCACAAAAAGAAACTGGAGACTTGGGATGAACAAACGTTTTCCACATTGGAAATCTCTCACTTAGCATGACTCTCTCACACCAGGTTTGGTGACCTGAAACTGCCCTGTCAAATGCCACTGTTAGACACAGCTGTCATTGTGGCTGATCAGAAGAGCCAACCTCTAGAAAGTAACTTATGGTTAAAATACAAAAAAATAATAACCACTTTTATGATGGCTGACAGAGATAGAGTCAACACTCGCAGCTGGAAGGCTCAACAACTCAAAACAACTCCAACCAAGTTTAGGACAGGAGCTCAGGGGTGGCCCAGATTTGGATGGCCTGGCAATCTCCTGCTGCCCGTGTGGGTGCTGAGGACACTGTCCTGCTTGGTACACCAAGCCTAAACAACAAAAGGGCTTCTGATCACACAGTTCATTTAGGAGAGCAAGGTCAGACTGATGCTGGAATCCTAATTTATGCCAGACTGGCAGAAAAGAAAGAAAGAAAAAAAAAAAAAAAGAGAGAGTTTTCTGAGTCTGGCTTGCATGACAATAAAGTTCTGTGAGAGAACTGTTTTGGAGAGATTTTGTTTCAGACTGAGTGCCCTGTCACAAGGTCAATGCTTGTAGCTTGCCAACACACGGACTTTATTTCCATTAGCAACATTACAGACCCTTAACAACCCACCTACCTGTCTGTGTGGACTTGGGGCACTCATGGATTGCATGAACCGAACTGCTGAGCTAATATTAAAAGAAAAACTTTAGGACATGACTGCCCTTCCAGCCCAAACAGAACAGCAGCACAGCCCATAATGGTATTGCCATACCACTGAGAGCAAACTTGAGCTCTTGTTTGCTCCAGAAGCTCCCTCCACAGAGCAGAGTAAATCAGCAATTTACACACACCCCACACAGATCAAAGGCATGAGGAACACTGGAGCCCCATCCCTGTTACGTGCCCCCTATAAAATTAATGGCTGTGCGAAGGGGACTGCACAGTCTTGTGTAAACACTCCTCAGTGAGCTGCAGGGACACAGCCTTGGCTGCAATAAGTCAATCGGGAGAGACCATCCAGGGACTGGGCTTCAAATGCTGGGATCAGCCGTGTGACCCAGCAGAAAGCAAAGCCCTCAGACAGAGTCATTTCCAAAAGCAACATCATCATGCAAGGGCTGGAGGAGGAGGAGGAAAGATGTCCTGAAGACAGCAGGAAGGGAGGAGGTGCTGCTGGGTAAGCTGTTGCAAAGCATAGGGGATTTTACGAAGCAAAATAAAGCTTCAGCAAAATGCTTTGGTCATATTTTTGTCACGGTGATAAATGACAAGGGGGAGCAGAGGTTCAAAAGTGGTTCAGTCCTTAATACAAGTAGTAAATTGATGCACATTAGAGGAAAGAGCAGGTAAAGGAGGAGGGAGATACTACTCTGAACAGCTCCAACCATCAGCAGTGCAGTGAGCTCAGCCCTGGCCAAAGCTCTGGCAGAGCTGCTCTGGCCCAGACAGGGATGCTGACAGCCCTGCAAGCAAGGGAACAAACCCACAAGTTGACCAGGCTGCTTGGGACCCTTTACAAAAGCCACCTGAACTGCAACAGAGCCACTACACCACCCCTGCACGTTGTCCCCATGTCACATATCTCCTGCAGGCCCAGCCAGTTTGGGGCAACCATGTGGAAACTTGGCGTGCTTGCCCCAACGTGGGCCAGGTCTTGGTGGTGAACTCCAAAGAGCTCCACAAACAACCAGGAGCCAACAATCCTGACAGCCACAAGTACAAATTGCATCTATTGGGGGTTCCTCCTCTCCTTAGAGCAGGCTCTTTTTGGGGTGAGACACAGGTGGTGCAGCACAGGAGATGACATAGATCCCCTTCCCATACAAACAGTCAACAGAGAAAGGGTAAGCCAACAGAGAAGCGATAAAAGCTGCTGTGAACGTTTCCAAGCCCATTCCCAGGCAGCAGACAGACCCAGAGCTTCCAGATCACCAAATTCCTCGGGTTTGCACAGACAGAGAGCCCACAGTTGCAATTAGCACCTCCAGAGCCCGTGTGTTGTGGAGCTGATGTTGCCGGGACCGGAGCGGTGCCGGTGCTGGCACTCGGGATGCAGCACGAGCGTCCGCCCACGGCGGGATGCTCAGGAAGCATCTCTCCGTGCTGGAAGGCACTGGAGGGCTGTAAGTGACTGCAAGAGCTGTTTATCCAGCTGTGAGGCTTGTGGAGCAGCGGGGGGACGGAGGAGGGGACGGAGAAAACGTGTCAGGAGTGGACGAGTGGGAGGAAGCGGTGGTCTCCTGCAAAGAGACCTCCAGAGTACCTTTGAAACTGAGCATTGAGAAAACAAAGAATTCTTGTAGGGGTACCCAAGGTCCCTCCAAACATATGGCCTCTGGAAATTAGCACCATCTGCACTGTCCCTTCTCAGCTGCTCTGGTTTTTATGCAGACAGAAAACTTCCCTAAAGAAGCTGTGCCTTTCGGTAGCCCAAGTGAGCGAATGAGCGGCCACCTAAGGGCAGGTCCACCTCACTGCACATGCAGGAGACCACACCTGTGGTGAACAGCAAGGCCACACCACAGAGCCCTCTCTGCTCACTTGATCTTCCTCATGGCCCATTCAACCAGCCACTGACCACAGCAGAACTGCAGTGATTCCTTTTCTCTCGCCCACTGAGAGACACAAAATGCCGTTCTCCACACTCTTTGGCCTCAGAAAAGGACAGACTTAGTTTTGCAAGTGGGTCAGATTTATCCTAATCTGGGAAGTCTGGTGTTCCAGACTATCAGATGTTAAAAGCTGGATGTAGAAGAGAAGGTTTGGTGAGAGGCCTTCTGCTGATGACAGAGATATTCTCCAGCTTGAGACAGCAGTGCTCTCTGGACCGAGAGGATCACTGAAATGATCCCATCCACCTACGGACATTTCCTGAAGTCTGGAAAAGCGTCCATTCTCAAAAGGTTCCCAAATGCTGTTGCTTATTTTTTCCCCTCCAATTCCTTGGATTCAGGCAGTACAGTGTCTGCAATGTGTGTATCTTCCAGCCTGCTCCAAGAGCTCACGTACAAGGGGTTTTTTTCTCCTCTTGGATGGCTTACAAAAGATGAAGACATTATTGTTGCTTACTTGGGTCACCCTCACTACACACTCCGGCAGCAGGGAAGATGTAAACATGTAATCCATCCCTGTGAGGAAATCCAGCCATTTCACAGACCCAGAAGCCAGCCTTAGGGAGTTAGAGAGATACAGTTACTTCCTGACATTCAGGGCTATGTTAATTGATAACAAGATAGCTGTGGCCAGGCAATTAGTTATGAAATGCTGATTAAAATGTCAGTGGCCTGAGCACGACCTTACCCAGGGTGGCATGGAGCCCCTAATTGATGGTTCCATGGGCATTCAGTGTAGACTGACCCCATTTGGGAGCAGCCATGCCCCAGCTGGGTGCAGGGAGCACAAACAATGGCTTTGGACCGTTTTAAACACTGGCCATGCTGCAGTTTCCACACAACACATCCAGAGTACTCACATTCCTCTACAGCCAACTTCCCCACCTCCATCAGGGGACAAATGATACAAGGGGAGGTGGAGGGAGCATTAACTCAGAGAACTTCAAACCAAAAAGCAAAAATGCCATGTGCCTCGGTATAATTCATTATTATTAGCTGTAGGTGGAATTAAAGACAAAAAAAAAAATCTTGAAAATAATAAGAAAAAGTTTAAACACTGACTACCCAAAGCACAACGTCCAGTAATTTTGCTTCAGGTTTTGTCAGCAGTGGCAGACAATCTGTACAGATAACTCACTCCAGAGAACAGAAGGCCCTTGCAGAAGGTTCCTTCATCCCTAAAACATTCCCTTCTTGGTTACACCCCTGCAGAGTGGCAAGAGGTTCTTCAAAGGATTGCAGAAATGTTGGACAATGAAAGGACCATCAGGATTTCAGTGCCAAAAAATCTGACCAACGCTAAGCTGAG